GGTTGACTGCCGTATTAGATCTATTCTAGCCACGGCTGGGGACACCCAAAGTTAGCATCACACACTACACCCACACAGATGTTCGAACATAGACGAACCGCCTGGCTACTACAGGGTGAGTGAGTTTGGTTTACTGCCGTATTAGATCTATTCTAGCCACGGCTGGGGACACCCAAAGTTAGCATCACACACTACACCCACACAGAGCTTCGAACATAGACAAACCACCTGGCTACTACAGGGTGAGTGAGTTTGGTTTACTGCCGTATTAGATCTATTCTAGCCACGGCTGGGGACACCCAAAGTGAGCATCACACACTGCACCCACACAGAGCTTCGAACATAGACGAACCACCTGGCTACTACAGGGTGAGTGAGTTTGGTTGACTGCCGTATTAGATCTATTCTAGCCCCGGCTGGGGACACCCAAAGTTAGCATCACACACTGCACCCACACAGAGCTTCGAACATAGACGAACCACCTGGCTACTACAGGGTGAGTGAGTTTGGTTTACTGCCGTATTAGATCTATTCTAGCCTAGCAGAGAACACAGAATGGGCCTGACATGTTGCACCCATGCAGGGAATCTTTGTCAAGATGACCGAATGCTTAAACCACAAGGCCATCTCACAGTTCCACTTCCACACACCAACAATACATATCTCAACATCAAAATGAAACTGCATTCATCACTTGAGAACGCAAGCATTCATTTATGAAGACTGAGACCAGGGATATTTATTGATCCAACATGGAAACACTATCAATTTCCAATAAAAACATGTTCAACACCAACGCAACTCATCATTAAGAGAGAAGCATATTTGTCAAAGACTCAAGTTCTGTGAATTATGGAACCTGAGTTTTGGAGACCCTGACATCAGCTGTGCTGTAAAGACAGGCCAATTCTTGCTAACATTCATAGACAGTTACAGCTTCCTTGAACCAATTGATTAGCACAAGGACCCAACTCATTTTGAAGTGAGAAGGAGAGTTACATAATGTAACCAAGACAGATGGCAGATAAACACGAGCTGTGGCTTAAGCATCATTTTACGTCATTACATCTAATAAACTGACAAAAGCTGTATGTTGAATCAATGATCTGCATTCACCGAGCTGGACACAGACCAGAGGGCTCTTGGCCGACATACATAACTCTTCGACAGAAATCTACCTGATCAATAAAGTAGCCGTGTCATCATGCTACGAGACGAGACGAGACGAGACGAGTGTTTTGCAACATGTAGGTGGTGATAATGCGGAACTCCAGAATTCCAGTCTCTGTTCCAGTTGCATCACTGCGATTCATTACCTTCATAACAATGTTGGTGATTGGCTTATTCCGGCTTGGTTTATTTCGATATAACAATGTCACCAACATGCTTTCCCCGGCTTCACGGAGAGTCGTTATATAACATGGTTTGTGTGTGGGTCCTAATGATGCCTGGTTGTGTGGCACTGGTGAAACTCAGCCTGCACAAGTGATAACAATATCATTGGCTATTACACCCAACTCCAAGCCTGTAAATTGAATCTTGACTATAACACTTTCCATTAGTGCCAATATAAAACATGGCACCACAAATACCCTGCTCTGTCTGTACAAGCTTCACATGTTAGAAAGGGAAAAGGTCATTCCAAATAATTTTATGTAAAACATTTTTTGTGACATTTTCCCGTTATGTCGATCTTTACAAAACGACTACATGCAGAGCTCCAGATAAGCTGCGTATCTGCGTAAAATGCGCATACAGAAATGCAGAAATACGCAGTAAAATAAAATCCAAGCGTATCAAATACGCAACAACATTACAGATACACTACAAAAATAAAACGTGTGCGTATCATCAAAACATTGTGAAGTAACCCTGCGTATTCGATTAGCAAATCAGCAACTTATTTTGAGATTGTAAACAGGCATTCCGTCAACCTTGCCAAACTCCACGATGACAGTTACATCATTATCATTTGCCATCACACTTTCTTGTGGAAGTATCGCGGTATTTTTTAGTTCTATAAAGCTCTCGAACCCACATGACACCAGTTTGTAGGGACTAGATGAATAGTGTATTTAAATATTTAACTTAAATACCCACATGTGTAAAAACTAGTGGGTAACAGAAATTTGAATACCCAGATAGAATTACTGATACCCAATGATTTTAGAATGCATGGGTAAAATACCCACAACACCAAAAGCTTATCTGGAGCTCTGTACATAGTAAGTGTTTACTAAGGAAACACAACTATGGTACACTACAGATGGGGAAGCCTAAAGGTTAAAGCGTTCGCTTGTCACGGCGAAGACCCGGGTTCGATTCCCCACATGGGAACAATGTGTGAAGCTCATTTTGGTGTCCCCTGCCGTGATATTGATGGAATATTGCTAAAAGTGGTGTAAAACCATACTCACTCACTCACTCACTCACTCATGTTTTCATGAATCTCAAAACACTATTCCTCCATCCAGAAATATATTAACAGATTGAACCCTGCTGAAAAATTTAATATTAAATCAACATTTAACACCTGTCTTTTTTCACTATTAAATGAACATATTTTCTTGTGCAATATACACACAAAAAATGCTGATGCATCATTATAAATTGTGTCTGGTTGTGAGAATTAAACTTTGAAAATCAAAGCCTAATAGACATAAGTAGGATTTGACAGACAAAATCTACATCAGCCAAAAATGCGACTCAATATGAATGCGACACCCCCTCCTCTCAAGCATCAGTGGATTTATATCTAAACAAAATGTCCTCTGTCAGGTTCACAGGAGAATCCTCATCTTAATCCAACCTTACATTAATCCAATCACACACCAATAGCACCGCTTATTAGCGCTGAGTAGAGTACTTCGGCTAAAACAATACGTTCACGCTGGCTCGTGTCGGCCTTTGATGCAGTCGCAAAGAGCAAAGACACCGTGTTGGGTGGTGTCTGTCTGGACTTGCAGGTGTGATCAGTGATGACATGAGTGAGTTGAACGCTTGTCTTGACCCCAGCAGTGACAATTCACTGGATGTAATTAGTGTTTGAATGACATTGTTTATATTCTTAAATTGTAACCAGTGCTGCTCAATAAACAGTCATGTGGAATACATAGTTGTTTGTTTTCAGCGTATGTCTAAGTTGGTATTTCTGCTATCCAAAATGTCTTATTGTTGATATAAATGTGATGTTTAATAATGCGAGCAAAGACCACTCGCATTTTTTGCATTTAATTCACGCTCGCGTTAATATGAAGATTTACAGTACTATAGAGCACACCCCAAGGACAGCAGTCAGTTCAAGCAGTGGTTGTCATGACATTAGCAGGCACATGTGAACCACCGAACACCAATCACAAACAGATGACAATGAAATATGTCGCTATGGCAACATGCTATGAAAATGTAACTTTACTTGACAAGAACTACACAATGTTTCAGATCAGTGCAAAAGTCAAATCTCTTTTCAGGTAAGAGAGTTAGTCTATCTCCCAGACCCTAGAAAGTAAATAAAAAAAAATGAATCCAACTCAAGACTAGAATGATTTGACAAATACTGGATTTCTTCTGCTCTGAAATTAAGTATTGTTCTGGGCTCCATTAAGATTTTAATTCTTATTTGTAGATATATATTTGGAAATAAGAGAACTTTATTTTGGGGACTTAATGCTACTTGAGGCAGGGAGTGTGAAACGGTAAACAATGACAGCTGGAGTGAGTGAGTCAAGTGGGTTTGATACCTAGTCACCCACATTAAATACTATTACTTTTGTTACAAACGACTTGTTAGACACACACAAGCTGTAACTTTCTATTTATGTTCACTTTGTATTTGTATTTGATGTAATATGTACAAACATATTATTTAAATAATGTCTATATCGATGACGTCACATCCTTCATTTCAATATGAAATATATGGTGTATGGGAGCGGTGTTAACATAAGCTGTAAAGCTTGTTCACCAATCCCAACTCATTTCAATGAATAAAAAATATGTTTAAACCACATTAAATACATCTATATCACGGCATCCTGAAACAGGTGAAGCTTGGGTAGCTTGACCAGTGTTTGCTTGTGTGACAACAGTCCAAGTAGCTGGGGTTCGCTGACCACAAACCTCATCCAATAAACCCTTTCTAATGCAAAGGCGATTTACGTCCCATACTGCTGACAGTTGAAGCGCTAAGATAGAGCAAGTACATGCTTTCCCTTTTTGCAAACACCTGGTGTCATCACTGATTTTCAGTGATCCATGCATATTTTTTCACTGCCATTTTGGCTTTAACACCCAATGGAAGCCGTTTCAGCAGATAATCGAGACTGGTTATTCTCTGGCATTGATGTTTTGTATTTTTGGAACAGAGCCTCGTCCAAGAGTTGTCTTGTCTTCGAGTCAGCCATCCAAGGATTATTCAAACGGAACAAATGAGATCATCTTATTCTCATTTTATCAAAATGGGGTAGTACAGACTTATTCTTCCCAGGAATCACCAATGGGAATAGTACGTGCAAGTACTTTGTGCCTTCTCAAACAATAGAAGACTAAGTTTCCAGGTGAAGAATATGGGTGAGAATGTTTGTGGCTGTCGGCTCTCACACACAACCCTGTTTGAGATGACATGGTTAGAAAGAATCTGCACATGATGAATGTAACAAGAGAACATTGAAATCATTTTTCTGAGAATCAGCAGACATAATTCCTATAATCACATGATCAAACAAAAAATGGAATCACATGACATCACATTACTGAAACAGAAATAGAAATTAGGAACAGTTTGAAAATCAAGATTAATGTGGCTGTCAATGGCGACAATGAAGAATTACTGTTATTACTGTTAGTGTGTTAGAAAACATAATTAAATAAAAAAAATTGTGATGGAGTCTACATGATTCAAAAAAGCAAAATTCTGAAGCAAGACAACACTTAGGACAACATAGGACAACAAAACGCAACTTATTCACCGCAATGAGAATTCCTTTAACATTCAGTGTTACCTTTTGAGCAATAAGTTTCCCCGCCGGAAGCCGGGCCTGTTTCCGTGGATCAATGACATCCTCCTCGTCAACTACCTCCGCCTGACGAGAGAGGGCCACCCGTTTAGGGGGGACAGGGGGTTTGGCCTTCTTGGGGGGCTAGAGAGTTAGAGCAGGGCATGCGTTAAGTCCACAACAGAATACCATGCTGTTCTAGGTTGGCCTTGTGGCAGGCTAGCACTACTTCTATAACTAAGTGAAAGACTCAGGTCCATGACAGGATGTGGATCTGTGGCAGATTCTCAAATGTGTGGCATATTTCCAATCCATGGTAGATCTGATCAGGGCATGAATTTCTACCCAAAACCTTTGAATCTACCTGTTCGAACTTGTCACTTGACTTTTACTATCTAGGCTTACTAGACTGAAAGAAATTAAATTAGATCCAGGACTCAGAGAAGCGGCTTATGTTGACCGGGCATGTCACAAACAAATGAATAAGTTAAGATTCTGTATAAATGTTACAACCCATCCATTGTAATGGATGCCAAGGGATTGGTGAACAAGAATGAACCAGAGGAATTAAATGGACACCATCAGTTGATGACATAGACATGACATCATGGTTTTAATGTCGTCGTCTTGGGCAGTATGCATGTTACAAGTCAACATGCATCTAAGACATATAAGACATCTTTGACTTTCCATGACAAGAAGATTGCATGTTCAATCAAGCCACAAACTTGACAATCTGCCATATTTTAGAGCCTTGCCACAGATCCAGGTCTTCTCATATCTAGTCTAGTTTAGTAAATAACAAGACCTACTGCTGTACTGCTTACAGTGCCTGTAGGAAAACAGTGAAATGGACTCCGCTGAGGTGGGAATAACCATCCATTTAGCAATTTCAAGATAGGAATTTGTTTAACTTTTGTCATGACAGCCCTCTTGAGACATCATAGCCAGACCAGTTTAATTACTATTTCAGTGGGTTGGGGAAAACCATGGCGACAAAGCTGTTTCAGACATCATCTTTGTCGACAATATTCATAAAGGGATCAAGACTAGATGAGTGTCTAATAATTAGAGGATCCTTCCTTGACTATGTATTTTTAACATGACCAGGTGGAAATGTAGCCAATGTAATAGTTGGTCTGGCCTTGAGTGAGTGAGTGAGTTGGGTTTAGCGCCGCTTTTAACAGTATTCCAGTTATATCACAGCGTGTCAGCTTAATGTGTGAAGAGAGCCCAAAGTGATGCAGGTCTCGGACGTTGACCATTTCGGTGAAACCCATGAGCGTGGGTATGGTGCTGACAAACCTAGAAACATAATCGGGGCGAATCGGGATTATAACCCACAATCATAGGTTTCATAGTGTCAAATGATCGATTACACAACTTTCTCTCTCAAGCTTTCTGTCTGGGAAGAGCCGGGATATTTGATTGAATTCATTGCTTTACAAGAACCTAGTAGTGACATTACGCCTTAATTTTCTTGTAGGAAAGGGAAACTTTCTTCTGGACCAAGAGAATGATTTCCATTATTCCTGTCTCCTAGAGGACATGTAAGTGATTCAGCAGTAGTCTTCTCATCATAAACACGTGACATGGTTCTGAAACGTAATATCCTCCACAGCACATGCCAGGCGATTTCAGAGAAAGAGGATTTACAGGTCAGGAGAATTGGATGTAGGATATTGTACGTTTCAGTTAGAGTGCATATCTTCATGGTTCCCACTTCATGTTTTCAAATCAAATAATCTTAACAGGTTTGTATGAATTTGCCCCCTAATAAATGTTAAGAGCATGATGTTTTCAACAAAAAGGACAAAATGTAATATCACGCCACATTTAATATATTGACCTGGTAACTTGGCTTCATTATTGATTTCAAGAAGTGGGAGCCATGTTAAAAAGACTTGTATAAGACTATCCCCATATTTAACCAAAGCCATGGTTGATATGAACATTGAATAGTGAGGTGTTTGTTTCTAAGATTATTAAGAGCAAAGGGAAGAAATGTAGATATTAGCGTTCAAAATAATAGGAAAAAGCAGGAAAGAGGAATTCTAAAATAAAACATAACAAAAAAGGACTGGATTAGCAAATGAGTGTAATTTCAGTTATCTTCAGATTAACAAGAATGTTTGCTCTCGGTTCTCTTTGTCAACAAGGTAAAACTTCAATTTAGAGAAATCCAACAGAATTATGATTCCCTAAATAATATAAATCAAATGGGATTTAATACAAATTAGACTGTCAATCCAAAAGCAAAGACAGCCGCTAAATATTTATATAAATAAAAGATTGAAACGGCAATGCATTTTTACAAACTTTGATCATGGGGTTCTAGCAAACCAAACGCAAACAAAGGAAAAACAACAAAATGTAATATGGATACTGAAGAATTTCAAAGACATTATCAAGCTCATTGTGGTATTAAGCATAACAAATATTACTGCCTTAGCATCAATTTAAAACTGAAAACATTAAATCATATCTGATAAAGAAAGAAATAGTAACACTATGTATTATAAAAGCAAAAAGTCAAAATGAATGATAAGCTTTTCTTCTTATCTTTCAACTGTTTTGAATAATTAGTGAGGCACATCACATGAGACTTTTTACTGAATTCATGAAATATAAGAATAGTCTTTGAGATTCCTGTTAAATCAGTGTGGGATGCAGGGTGAGCAAGGATGCATGGAACAGCACAGCAGTCGTTATTATTTTCAACATCAGTCAATGTCAGTCAATATGGCGGACAGCAGCCAGGGGAGACAACTCTCACGTTGGCAACTCTCACAGGTGAACTGAACTCTTTTCTTCAAACCAAAATTCTTCTTAATGGAATAAATTCAGTGACTGGGTGAAGGACAGTGTTCTTTTGCATTATACAAAGCATTAATATTGGCATTCCAATGAAGAACAAATAATAATTTGTTGTGTTGAATATATATTGCTTGATATATTCAAAATATTCTGTTCTGTCCCCAACCGAAAGCTTAAATTTTACCAAAAATCTGAAATATCAATGTTGCAAATTTTCATGTCATACTACTTCAGCATCATTTCAAAGAAATCAAATTCAAATTTCAAATATACAAGTTTCCAGAGGCTAAAATGAGAGTTCCCCCAAGGCTGAATGTCAATTTAAGTCAAGAGACATGGAGGCTTGAAGACAGAAGCTCGCTTGCTGGATGGCTGGCCTGTGATGTAGTCCTGGAATAAAGCACTCTCAACCTGCGACACATGAACCTGCCACACGACACTTGTACACCCAGGGGATGGTGCAGAGAGAGGAACGAGGCTGTTGGTAGGGGAGTGCACGACAGCAAGAGACACTCAACTGATATCAGTGCTTATTTCTAGAATGTTTCCATGGACCCGTTACACAAAGCAATCCCATGACAGGCACTAGTGCCAAGATCATTTTGTTGAAGGGGTCCCAGGGTATAACTGTGTTAGTGCAAACTGAAGCCCTATTTTTGCAAAAACATTTAAATAAAAAATATCAGCTTTTTATATTTGAAAACCAGGTTGAAGTATTTGAATTTTTGGTTGCACGACATTAAGGTAATTTGGATAATACCTATACTTCAGTTGCAAAATTTTAAAGTTTTCTTCCACACAATCTGAACATTGGTGTCACATTGAAATCAGTTTTGTCACTCTTTCTTCATGTTAACAGTGCCACTCTAACTCCGACCACTTCCGCATCACTGAACCATCCCTGTAATGACAATCACAAAGCATCACCTACCATGGTCTCTTCTTGCTCACTGGGTGGGCTTGAGCTGGGTGGGGCAGGCACTTTATCAATCACAGCACTCTGGGAACACAATTGACAAGTATTAACAATGCATCATGCTTCAAAACAGGAGCTAATGCCAATCACAATATCCCTGCAGCCTTCTAATGCTGTGTTTCTGGTGAAATGTTCAACTGTAAGGCTAATGGATCATCAGTAATTAAAAGATACACATTCCAGGCAACTATACAATACCTGGTGAACAAATGAAAATATGAAACAGGCACCTTTCATACCTTACTCTTGTTATCATTTACGATTTTCTGTGCTTTCGCAACCGAAGAATGAAGAGAGCGTCACAACCATTTCGCACTCTCTAATCACTGGGTTCTAATACTGACCAAAGAGTATACAGACTAATGATAAGAAGCCATTGTATTCAGTGCTAAACGATTAAGGTATGAATAGATATCCAGTGTTCGTTCTAGAGAGCAGCATTGCGACATCTATACCAATCATGACATAAGAATCATACAAATCTACGCAGTGATCTTGCTCGAGACAGAGGGGCATTTGACATTTTAAAAACTTTCTATCGGACATTCTCTATATCATTACGAAATTTCTAAAATATCTTCAGGATGTTTCAGATGACATCAGTCAATGTCCTAGGAAATGAACACGTCTGAAACCCTGCCCATGTGTAGCAGTAGGTTGCATGATTTCCAATTCAAAAGAGTCCTCTATCATAAACAAAAATGCACCTAAAGCATTAACTTCTGTCAATGTGCTCCACTTGCTCGTGTGCAAAATCAGAACTGATCAGTGTGCGAGTTGTTAAGAAGCAAGCTCCATTTCACGTGTGACGCCTACATCAACCTCCCAGAATTTGGAGACTAGAATGAACACAGGGTACAGCAAGTACCTCCCACTTTGTATGGAAAAGATGAAAAAGTCATGAAATTTGTGCTACGTTAACATTTTACCTGGCATTAGATGTAATGCACATTCCCGTCCAGTCAGTATTTAGTTAGCAGCAATAATCCAGTTATTCTGCTTTTGACATTTAACAAAAGGAAATCCATGTACCTGTTTAGGACTTTCTGGTCCACGGATTTGGGCATGCTCTTGTTGCAGTATGGCTGTCTGTCGAGCCGTTTCTTCGGCAGCCGCGACAGCTTGGAGTCGTTGCTCTTCCTGCTCCCGTTCTCTCCTCAGTCGTTCCTGCAGGAACACAACAGTAGAATGTCACACAGCCCTCATGAAGCTCACGTGCGGGACAGGAAAATAATAAGAATGCTGTGCCCATCACTGCGTCATGTGATAATAGATGGATAGTTTACACCTGATACATGTATTTCTATGGACTAGGTGCCTTCAAGATATAACTGATATAAGGTGAATGTGTCTTGAATGTGGTGTGAATACACCCTATGTAATCACACAAGGCAACAAGCAGCAAATACATCAGTGACATCACCGATTACAAGTCATACTGCAAAAAACATATTTCCCATCTGAAAAATGAAATATAATTATTAAAACCATAATATTTTTTTAGATGTGAGTCATGATAAATAAGAGTTGCTAATTAAACCACAACAAACAAGTAAACAACCTGTGATACCCACATTCAGTCCTCTGTTGAACAAACTTGGATTAAGATTATTAGCACACGTTAAAAGTACATCAAATTCCTATCAGATTTCATCACACATGAAAGAGGGAAGGTTTTGCAGAGTGGAGAGAGCATGCAACAAACACAGGAACAGCTAGCACAGGCCACATGCGATCACACTCATGGTGACCAGTCTCTTTCAACTGTATTCTCAGCCTACATACTGCAATATGTTCATGGGGAAGACTAGCACTTTAACAAAGGCACAATCTTTTTCTATATCATTTCCTCTGTGATTCATGATTTCAGCTTAAGAATGACAATACCCAATATTGTTACACCTTGTTATCTTGATGCCTTGAGCACAGTGACAGTCATGAGTGTTCTTAACATATGGAAATTCAGTTGAAACTTGGTCCAGCAGACAATCGAATTGGATTTGTTTTTAGTACCAGTATAAGCAGAGTATGCTAGTAGACCAGAGGGGCATTACGGTTTTGCTGCAAAGTAACAGTCTTAAACAATATATATGCTGTCAAGGGTTAGAAAGTTTCGGGTTTTTTCACTTGGACCCAAAATTATCTGCTACAGAATTCATGACACTTTTAATGGACAGCAACTTCTTTCCTTCTTTGACACAACATTTCCGAGCTACTTCTCGCTCCTTCATCAGGTGAATACTGAAGTACAAGAAGTAGCTCTGAAACCTCGGAAGAGTATTCATGTTCTTCCAATTTCTAAATGCCTATCATAGACTTCAATCTTCTACAGAGTTGCCATCTACCTATGTTGAAAGTGGTGGTCCACAAGGAAGTCTTTGAAAGGTACTAATCTCGGACTAGCAGACAATGGAAGAGTTAACATGGTGGTACAGTAAACCTCAGACTAAAATAGACATGTTACAAACTGAACAAGCTAAACGTCACTTACACTAAGTGCTCAGATTCACCTATCATCATTTACTTGTCTTCTTGTTGCCAGTTGTTATTACATCAATTTTAGACAAGCTGTACATTAGACTTTATGTTTATTCTCCCTGTAGTGTTTTCTTGTACGATCAACAACTCCCACTCGTCGAGTATTTCTTAAATACAGATTTTTGACACGTACACAAGTAGGCTGTATCCCAGAAACTAGAGAATATATTATAAAAGGAATCAAACTGAAGTCTAGAATGAAATTCAGCATTGTCCTGGGCTTCATTTGAATTTATTTTTTATGTTGAGAATATATATTTTTAAATGAGATAACTATATTTCTGAGACCCAATGTTAGTCTAGTATGCAGCTGAAAAGGTTACATTGGGTACTTATGCACAGGGTCGTTATACAATTGTTTTTTTATGTAAAAATAACATTCATATTTGTACACAAGCAACCCAATATTAATTGGGTCATGGCAGTTTACTGTGCTTTGTTTGTTTAACGTAAATAATTGAGTCTGGACCAGACAATGCAGTGATTGACATCATGAGCATCGATCTACGCAATTGGGATACGATGACATGCATCAACCAAGTCAGTGAGCCTGACCACCCGATCCCGTTAGTTGCCTCTTACGACAAGCATAGCCGCCTTTTATGGCAAGCATGTGTTGCTGAAGACCTATTCTACCCCGGATCTTCACGGGTCCTACTGTGCATATATTACGCAAATATGTAGTTTATCTGGAGCTGTCATGATCAACAATATAATGCAATAGATGCCTACAAAACTGTCCTTAGTATAAATTCACTACGACAAGACAACATTGCATCATTAGTTATTAAAAAACAACAATATATTTCCATATTTGATTAAAGTAACTATTTCAACAAAACAAGCCTAACATTATAGCATCTTCAAGCAACATATTAGCCAGGAGTAAACTTCTTGTAAAATCTAAAAGAACGTTTAACATTAACATGATTAATGGTCTACTTCTGGATGGAGTCTTTGAGAAAATTAAAAATTTCTACAACAAAAAGAACTCAAACTTTAAGTATAATAACTTGATATATATATGCCATCTATATGTTACAGTCAATGTGTAAAATGGCTGAAACTTTCATTTAGGCATTTTACAAAACCCCAAAATATTTCAGTCAGTTTACAATTATTTTCCTGTCAGATTGACAAAAAGATGTAAAGGGGCTCAAAAACATCACAAATGACTAATTATGCTAGGACTCCAGGCAAAACAATTAAAAATAAAAACACTGATTTTTGTTTTCTTTTAATCCCATCATTTTCAGTAACAAGGTAATGACACAGAGCATACAAATCTTTGGAATTCATTATCATGATATAATATATGGAAAAATAATTGCAAACTGATTAAATATTTTTGGTGTTCTGTAAATTGCCAAAGTGAAAATTTCAGTCATTTTACACATTGACTGTAACATACTGGTATATCAAGCCTCAATCCATATATCAAGCCTTTCCACAAAGCGATCTTAGCAGTTAGATGATGATAACTCCTTTTATTAAACATTGACTTATGACAGTCGGAGCTGGAAGATCGCATTGTGGACCGGGGCCCAGGTGATGTAATACGACATTGTTGCAAGTCTCAGTGAATGCTACTGGAGATACAAGGCAGTGTGATGAGTCCATGTATACAGATAGTCTGGAGTACATGGTCAAGCAGAGTCTAGAGGTACAAGCTACAGTCAGAGGGATGCAGGCAAGAATCTGCCAATAGTGTAGCAGTTGTGTCAACCTGTCACATGTGGAGACACAGATAAAGGCCATCCATCATGGGTAATTCATTCTTTCTAAATGTTTTGAAACAAGGGTTACTGGTAAATTACAAATCACATTCACTGAAGTTGTCACCAGTAATGTTGAAGCCGAAAATAACAGGGTTAGAAATTCAATCTTATTTTCACTTGTCTACAAACAAAACAAAAGTTGTCATCTACCTAATGATAAAAGTGGTAGTCCACAAGGAATTGTCACAAGTCTTTCCTCATGTCAATATCGAAACCCTGAATGAGATAATGTTTCTATATCAGTAATGTACCATATTAAATAAATATTTAAATTGCAGCTTCTGAAACTGGCACTAGTCCTCCTGTAGTCCTTGTCAAACTGCCCAATACTTAAGGTATCATAAAGACAAGTAGAAATTTGCATTTTTTAAACGCTTTGATGTATGTAGGATTAGTGGACTAAACATGTTGAAATTGTAACACATTATTCACAAGACAGTATTACATCGTACCGACCAACTTATTCTAAAACCTGCCAAAAAGCCTCGAATGAAAGGAATTTCGAACCCTGTTATTACAATCCTATCAGATGGATGGACTTCCTCCATCACCTCCCTGTGACAAGTTGACAGTCCTAGAGTCTGCATTCCGTCTAGGCGTGTCTGGGTGTAGGACCTACCAGGTGTTCGGAATGTTCCGCCTCCCATTGTAGGGTCTCCTTAATCATGTCCTCGTCCTATAACACAACGACTGGCTACAGGCGGATGCCGCTAACTACACCACTTGGGCTTCTAGTGCGAGTGTCCTTGTGCTACTATCACCACACAGCAGACAGGACTCTCATACAATAGTTGTGTTTCACTTGACTCCACTAGCCCCAACATGTCCATTGCAAACATTGTTTTTATAGCTTTTAATGTTTATTTATGGGCTACCATGAGCTGAGCTTCAAAGAAATTTTACCAAACTTGGTTTCAGATGAGTGGCTAAGTCTCAGATTGATGTTGAATTGAAATATTACTGCGTCAAGTTTCAATTTACTCCTTGGGCCAGTTAAAAAAACTTGGTTGACAAATTTGTCGAAATGTGAGAAAAGCATCAAAAATTGAAAAGCAGTATTTTTTTTAAATTCAGCCAAACAGAAATAAAGAAATTTTTATAAAAAAAAACCCAACTCATTTACTGTCATCATCAATACAAATAATTTATTAAAAATACAATAACTAAAACCTGTTGAAAATTTATCTTAAAATTGTTTTTTTAAATTTTTCATTCAACCTACCAACCTGAAGTTTTGGCCAAAATTCCCAAAACCAAAAAGAAAAGAAAAGCTTGGCCTCATTACATTAAGACCACAGAACAAGGATCCCTACTTTGAACATGAGGATTCCCGACATTCCCCAGACAAATGTTTTCCATAACACTTGATGAATGAGGGATGATGTAATTCACGCCCAAGTCAGCATTCTACCCTACCATAGAGGCATATGTGGCAAACCAGTAAAGGAAAGCATGAGCAATGATCAGCGCCATTGGGGCACAGTGACATGCAATCAAGTTTCTTAGCTTTGCAGATGGCTCACCTAATTAGCATGTGAAATCTGGCAAGACCCACCCTTGAGGGAACACTATCAGACAACCCTTCGACTAAGTCGAGACAAAGATACTCTAACTCTAAAGCCAGACCCACCCTAGAGGGAACACAATCAGACAACCCTTCGACCCAGTCGAGACATAAATACTCTTCCACTAAGGCCCGACCCACCCTAGAGGCAACACTATCAGACAACCCTTCGACCGAGTCAAGACAAAGATACTCTACCTCTAAAGCCAGACTCACCGAAGATGCAACACTATCAGATTGCTCTTTTACTGATAATGGTCTAGTTCCTAACATCAAGTGGAAATGCTGTATGGTGATCTGAGATTCTACACCACAAGGTATCTACTAACTACACTTCCAGGTGCACTTCAGCTGGACTCTAACCATGCAGGGCTTGGTGTTGGTGTAAATCATGTGAAGGATGGGACCACTGGCTACATCACATACTAATAGTGTCTTTTAAACACAGGTGCAAATATAACTTACAAAAATGAGGGACCACTCTCACAGAAATACATTATGCACTGAATAAATTAAATTATATTGGTACAGGAACAGGTAATGATACAAAACTAGGCAAAGTCATAAAAAAAACTTTGTACAGGTGTGTAAACGAGCTTCTCTCACCTGTCGGATTAACCGCATTTCCTCATCCTCCCTGTCAATACTCGATACAGAGCCTTGCCGGGATGATGCCAGAAAGCCGACCGGACTGCCAGGACTGGATATCTCCGGGGTGGAGTTAGGGTCATAGCCATCACACACCATGATATTCATCATGTCCCCAACACTACGCAATGCTCGAACAGCTTCTTGGTGAGTTGACCCAAGCAAACTCGTACCATTCACCTGGGGAAGGGAAATTGGTGACACATTGGCTAAAACCTTACTGATGACTGTTCATACCAAATGGACATCAAAGACAATGTTTATTATATCTCAGGCCTTCCAAGACACGTCTGGTTCAATGACTGCTTGCTACAGACAGGATAAGTTGGACTAACCTCAAGTATTCTCTGGCCTATCACAAGCCGTCCATCTTTCCCAACAGCACCTTCTTCGTTAATCTGGAAAGGGATCAAACACCCATCAAACTGTGTGAAGACAGCAATAATAATAGTAATTCTGGTAATCTGGGATTGAAAAGACACTTATGGTATTTCCTGCAGTTCCTGCTAAGGGAAGTGAGGACGGAAGCAGAAAAAAACATCAGCTGATTTATTTGTTGCTTAATGCCAGACTAAGCAATATTCCAGCTATTCGATGGCCGCCTGTAAATAAACAATTCTGGGCAAGACAAACCACTGATTGATATCTTGAACAACCTAATCCAGCAGTCACACCTTACAACAAAAGTAGGTTCCTGGGGATCAATTCCACCTTCAAATCTCAAGTTGGCTGATCAAGGCTCAACATATCTGTGTAAGTCATTGCGGTCATCACTGAATATATAAGATACGAAATCCCCCTGCAGTGTTCACCCACTTATTTGACCAGTTGGGGGATGTTCCACACACTGAATATATAAGATACGAAATCCCCCTGCAGTGTTCACCCACTTATTTGACCAGTTGGGGGATGTTCCACACACTGAATATATAAGATACGAAATCCCCCTGCAGTGTTCTCCCACTTATTTGACCAGTTGGGGGGATGTTCCACACACTGAATATATAAGATACGAAATCCCCCTGGAGCGTTCACCCACTTATTTGACCAGTTGGGGGATGTTCCACACACTGAATATATAAGATATGAAATCCCCCTGCAGTGTTCTCCCACTTACTTGACCAGTTGGGGGATGTTCCACACACTGAATATATAAGATACGAAATCCCCCTGCAGTGTTCTCCCAATTATTTGACCAGTTGGGGGATGTTCCACACACTGAATATATAAGATACGAAATCCCCCTGCAGTGTTCACCCACTTATTTGACCAGTTGGGGGATGTTCCACACTCTGAATATATAAGAAACGAAATCCCCCTGCAGTGTTCACCCACTTATTTGACCAGTTGGGGGATGTTCCACACTCTGAATATATAAGAAACGAAATCCCCCTGCAGTGTTCTCCCACTTATTTGACCAGTTGGGGGATGTTCCACACTGAAGTCACAAAAGTGGGAAAGTTTTTACATTTTACATTTTCCCAAAACAATTAGCCGAGATGTTAGAGCTTGCTCTGATCTCGGTGTCTTGCAAGCAAGCAGTCTTAATTTTATGAAAATCCAATCATGCAATCCTGGTGGGGATGCAACACATGCCATGGAGGAAACTGTCTTTATCCCATCAGTTGAACCTACCCGTGAAATAAAGATGCCCTCATCATTCTTGTCCCGAGGGTTTGCAGAGAAGTTCTTGATACCACCCTTAATACTCATACCAAGCTTGTCTCCCTGTTCCTTCACTATAACAAGTTCCTGAAACAAATACCACCATCTTACTGTCCTATTGGCACAAGATATGAGGACGTAAAATACATTTATTGACATGATGATTTCAGGTCCATGATCCAAAACATGTTGCCACAAACAGCAACACCTACAGCAAAACACTGTTAATCGAGACAGCAATTAGTGAGTGAGTATGGTTTTACGCTGCTTTTAGCAACATTCCAGCAATATCACAGTGGGGGACACCAGAAATGGGCTTCACACGAGACAGCAATTAACAAATCTTCATATTAGCCAACAATGGCTACGAAATAATGTCCCATTAACCATGCATGGATTTTTACAACAGTAATCATCCTGAAAGTTTCTGAGTAATGGGTCAGGAAGGTTTCATGCATATGTAAATAATATCTTCCTTTGTTACATTCAAAATACTGAAATGCATGCACTCAATGCTTGTGTGAATATCTGCCAAATTACAAATTACCAGCCATTTTGGAGGTCATGATGACCCTTATACTGGCTGTGTTATCATAATCCCTTTGATCAACTTTCAATGTTTATTGGAGGTTAATCTGTCTATCGTCTCAGTCAATCCCTCTATTATTGATATTCATTACCTTTTAGGTGGGTGTGTTTGTTGATTACGCCACACTCAACAATATTTTAGCTAAATGACATCAGACTGTAAATAATCGAGTCTGGATCAGACAAACAAGTGAACGACATTATGAGTTATGACCCATGCAGTCAGGGTACGTTGACATGTCACCAAGCAAGTCATGCTCGGGACCAATTCTAACCCAGAATCACCCCGAGTCATTACCTCTAAAAGCCCAGACAGACGAAACAAGGTGAGGGTGAGGGACAACTTTGTTACCTGCAAATTTCGCTACACAACAGTCTGGCCTGATGGTGAAGGAACAAAACTAACCTCTAAACCTTTCGGTGGCGGGTCGTGTCGCACAGACAGGTTGATCTCGTACGTAGGGGCAATCAGTGCCATCACAGCCTCTTGATGTGTACATTCCGTTACGTTTTTGCCGTTAACCTAAAAACAATACTCATAGATGTATTTCCTGGTGTGGAGAGGGTGGGTGAACGCTGGGTGAGTTAAATGGCATAAGTCACAGATGTTGACGACTTCGGTGAAAAGTGCAGGTATGGTCCTGATGGACCAAGGAAAATCAGGCATAAAGCCGAATTCAAACCCCAGGCCAGCAGATCCTGGCACAGTGAAGGGTTGTAACTCCGCACAGAAAGAGAGACCTCTAGATCTCCGGACAAGTGTAATTACACAGATATTCGAAGATCTAACTTACCGCTATTATTCTATCTCCTATTTTCAACTTTGATTTGGAAGCAGCACCATCTTTAACTATCTGAAATGTAGAGATAGAGCTTGATATTAACAGAGGACGACAGTATCACATTAATTAATGGACAAATGTTTGCAATTGGTTTGGACATGTATTGTGGAAGCTCCACCAAAATACCATAAACAAATTCCCTAGTGATAACTTTCACTTTTTGTTTAAAGTTTCCATCAATAACCAAATAAAATTACAGTCAAACATGCCCCACTGCACGTAGCAAATTCCGGCGACACTAACTTTATATAAATAGTAATACAGACTTATTCTAGCAGTAGCTCCAACTTCTAGCAATAGCTCCAACTTCTAAGCAACAAACTTTTACCTTGGATACAAAAATGCCTGGTTCCTCGGCACCGAAAGGCTGACTTGAGTGATCACTGCCGCCCACAATACTGAGACCCAGGGGGCCCCCAGCTTTTCGTATCACTATGTCCTACAAACACGCAATAATTGTTTCATCACTCGGATATATCGGTCACTAAATTGTGGGTTTTCTTCACAAACTTAATTTTCGTATCTGAGTTTGTCAATTTCATCCAACTGTAAATGGTAAAATGATTTCACACAACCAAATGATAACTAACTGCACTGTCTTCCTTAATGAATACAACCTCTGAAGCTGATGAATGTGTCTTTGACATGCTTCTTGTTATCACACAAGAGTGTATATCCAATGCAATGACGCCAAGGGAGAACAAGTTACTTACCTCATGAAAGGGTTGTTCTTTATCTGCTGAAGAAGAATCAATGTGATTCACATGCACTTTACTAATTGTTTGTCGCTCCATCATAACTGTGCTGTTTCCAGCACTAACTTCCTTCCCCGATAAAACCGCACTGGGGACGCTGGAGTCACTGACATAAGAACTATTTACACTCTGATTTGAGAAAGACACTGTAGCTGGTGTTGGGGAAATGTTTTCCTTGTTTTCCGTAGTCCGTATGGACGATTGGGACGTGTTGGGGGACCGGTTAAACCCGGGATACACAAACTTGGGCGGCTGGACCACAGCTGGGGGAGTTGACCAATCAGACGACAGTGTCCGTGGCGCCGCCTTTGGTGAAGATTGTCCAGCACTAGGGGAAGGATTGGCTTGGATTGTGGGTGAAGGGGTGGCTTGGGTGGTGGGGGAGGGGGGTGGCCTAACAACAGGGGAGGGTACTTCTTCAGCACCTGGAGTAACTTGGCTCTGATATGTATATGAGGATGGCACAGCAGAAGCAAACACACTTGGACTAGAGCTGACTTCCGATTGACTGACGTTGAGTGTGGCGTTGTCAGCTGTAGGTAAGCTGTCGTTCCAATGAATACGTGGTTGTGTCATCGTTGGCAGCTTGTGTCCTGTGGTTGTGTCAGTTGTGTCTTTACTGTCTGGGGACTTTGGGACAATTTTCTCCCGATATACAACAAGCTGTATCGTCCGGTCGGAGCCAGTCAGCAGGGCCACTGCCTGGTCATGACGCGCGTCGGACAGATCCACGTTGTTTATCTAAGGGAGACAATAATGAACTAGCATGGGAAAACTGATCTTTAGACTGTTATATTTCATAGGGCTGAATGATAGATAGGCTGATATAACATTTCCGTAAGTATATGTTGTTTAAGATACAAAACATATCATGACACTTTAGTCTTCTATGTAACAAATGTAACCAGAAGCTGGATTTTCCCAAATCAATGTTTGATGCCAAATGTTCACCAAAGTCAATAAAGTATGCCAAAGCCTTGACCATTGGTGAAAAGATGTGATTTGTTTGGTTGTTGTTTAATGCCGCACTCAGCAATATTACAGCTATGTGACGGCGCTCTGTAAAGAATTGAGTCCAACCAGACAATCCTGTGACTGACATCATGAGCATCGATCTACACAACTGGGAGATGATGACATGCATCAACCAAGTCAGCGAGCCTGACCACATGATCCCGTTAGTCGGCTCAAACGGCAAGCATGGGTTGCTGAAGACCTACTCTCTACCCAGAGGAATACATACATGATAAAGATTATGTTTGTATTGTTGAGTGTAATATTGTGGCGCACCTGGAAAGTATTTCAGCCAAAGCCACATCAGCAGTTTACTCTTCAGGAGCCATAACATCATTGGAGCATCCACGTTATGACACTTACCGACATGATGCGATCCCCGACTTGCAGCTTGCCATCGTTATGTGCTGTTCCCCCTTCCACTATCCGTGATATGTAGATGGCCTGAAGACAAGACTTACATGGTTAGGAAATGGAGTCACACGGGTAGGTGACACTAACTTCACAGCCTGACATCATGTGCTAAAAAGTGTGTATCAACTCCACATCTATTCCTGAAGATTACAAAGTACATTTGCAGTACAACTGCACTAGTAATACTCAATCAGTATACGTTATAATATCCACATGGACGCTTTCATTTTCCACAATGACAGAATCCTGTAGCAACTGGGGTGTTTTCACCTACCAATAACGAACAGGATGTTATATTGCAGTATTTCCATCTAACATGTTTGTACTGGAGGAAAATTGGAATTTAACTTTTTTACAATGTACATATGATATGCTACTTGTTTCATCCCATCGTCCACAGGATGGTTAAAAAACTGATGTTGTTAGTCAACGACTACACTTCTAAAACAGGCAAAATCCGGAAAATCAAATTCAACAAAACAGTTTTGAAATGCAAACTTGCATTAGTGTTGAAAAACAAGCTCTCAAACTTCAAAACATTTCATGTGAGGAGCTAACAGCAAACTTTTCTCCAAAAAGCTGCATCTTCAAGACAAAAAACAAATAGCAATTCTATCACTTCAAGGCCAGGAAGAGCAAAGACAGAAGAGTGAAAGAGTGAAGACAGAATCAGAAACATGCCGGAAGGCGGAGCACACCATGCACAAGGTCAAGGTTTCTCCTAGAGTAAGAGTCAGAATGTAAATTGGACAAGGCATCAGTCCCTGTCACACATCAATAGTGTTGCCAGAAATGCAACATTTCTAAACCAAAACTACAGACAGAAAGAGTTGGACACAAATATTCCTGTTAATAGTGAAACACAAGGAATCAAATTTCATTCAACAGCTACTGATCTAAAATCTTAGTATTTCAGTTTTCTTTGATAAAACCATTTACGAAAAAATTGCTGACTAAATTATATTTTAAAAATGTCCTCTTAGCTTAGTCTAAATATTGACCAAACTGTCTACAACAACCAGATGGAAACATCCACATGCTTCTATGAACTTGCTACTAAGAACACACATGTACCAGGAGGCAGATCTACAGGAGACATCAACACTCGAGTTTCAGTATTCTATAACAGACTGGTTCAAACGTCGCCATCAGAGGCTTGGAATCCTTCTTCTAAATCCAATGGGTTTAATGCAACAATCACAAACTGAATAACAGAACACCCTAGGGCAGAATATATACGGCTGATCCCTTAACAGAGGTTTTACAATTAAAGCACTACCCAAAAGAAGTTAAATAACACCTGATTCTTTCATATTCTTTCATAATCTGTCAGGGCCGTTTCAGATTAACTGAAGTCATATGACAAAATTGAGTATTCTGTAACTTCTTTGTAGTAGTATATTTTGCCTCCATTCTACACTGATATTTACAGCAGGATTTCCTATTGAAATGATTAATCATAAAAGGTGAGCTGTCTGTGACATCACAATTAACCTTGAACATCCATCAATTGAACAAAATTACTGAATTCCTTTGGAGCAGCCTAAAACACTCACTGACCACCCAATTTAACAATGCCACAGACCATTCTGTTACAGTGACAACCTAATTGCAACCAGATTAGTTCCTAAGTTTAGCTACATATTTTCTTGACAAATCCTATTTTAATTCAAAAGAAACACATTCAACCAAGTTGCACTGAGGTTTCTTGCTGCCCTGGTGAAACAGTGCAAGTGTTAATGTCCGTGGTGGTTCTACACAAGGGAGGACTAGAGAGCCATGCAGGCAGCATTCAGCCTGTACCCACCTCCAGCAGGGAATAGAGTTGCTGAAACGAAAAATGTCAGGTGACCCATGTACTAACTGGAGCCAGTGAGAGAAAGCGAGTGAGTGAGTGAGTGAGTGAGGGTTGGAACAGGTTGAGTCAGACCTACTAACAATCATTTTGGACTGTTTGTCATGTACTTGCACATATGCCAATACCTAGGACAAAAACAACAGGACTTAATTTTGAAAACTTTTAATGATTGTTGAATGAAGGGATGTACCTTAAACCACAACATCTCAAGAATTGCTGCTATCACACTACAATATGTTTCATTCACTTTTCCCAGATGTATTGGTCCATGGACTACTGTAGTATTAAAACAGGGAGTCAATAGACTTTTACCCCAAACTCTTCAGCATCGGTAATGGATGAATAAATATGATTGTCCCTATTGTCAAACTGTGAAATACATAGTCAGAGCTGGAATGGGAACACTGAAAGTGTCTCTACACTGTTTGATGCTTCTCGGACAGTCCGACATGTCGCGACGGTGATCACAAGCCTCATCAGTTTCAATTTTTCCTGGCACTCTTGTAGCCTCATGAGAAGACAATAGATGAGACTCCTCTCAATCATCAACACCTCCTTAGTTCCGTAACTTTTGGAATCCTAAATGACGATTTTGTTTCTAGAGCAAGCATTTTATTCATCCTCAAAGAATCATGTCGTAAAGGTAATGTGTGTGTACTGTTTGCTACCTGTAAACTATTTTCCCCTGACTCAGTAGACGAAACAAAAGGTCCCATTGTGAAAGACGATACCTTCTTCGAAAGCGAAGCATGAGCAAAGAAACATACTAAAAGCAAACAGAACCCACTAAATGAAGAGACTGGGCAGACAATCTGAATCAGTGACGACAACAAACTGCTGTTGACTGGAGGGTCTGACGGGAACAATACTACAGTTCACAGTATCACAAGGACTGGGAGTTTAACAGCTCACGAAAAGTAAATCCAATTTGTCTGTGCGGGACGATTCTTGAAGTACACGTTGAAGAGCCTGTCGTGGTAACCATAGCAACAATCATGACATGGAGACAATTTGACATGTTTACTTACTACTTTACACCTTCCCAGGGGTGACTCAATGTGAGCCCATACTACAGTATACAAAATACTTAAGTTTCATTGTGCTCTACCACCAGACCATGGAGGTGGTCCATTGCAGTGGTTGAAGTCAGACCAGAGAGTGTGTGTGTGTTTGTTGTTAAATGCCCCTTCAGCAATATTCCAGCTATATGATGGCAGCCTGTAAATAATAAGAATCTGGACCAGACAATCCAATGATTGATATTGTGAGCAAATATACATGCTATCTGGTTCAATTCTAACCCGGAATCCCCACACACTGGGTCTGACCACTGTCCATAAGTCGCCTCATACAACCAAGATTGGTTGATGGGAACGAATTCTATCCCGGAATCCCCACTGGGCATCAAACCACAGGCTGATGGAGAATACATTAACTGAAGTCTGTCAGGTGTGATGGCACACCAGCCCCACCAAGGCACAGGTATACCAGATGGTTTCCCACAAAACAAAACCCAATTACTATAATATAAACTGGCATCCAAGCCTTCATCACACTATACATAAGTATTTGTACTTTAAAGACTCATGCTTCAACTGTGACTATCATACATCTATTGACAGAATAAGCTGTCACAAAACCACATGCTTGAAAGAAATATCAATTGACTTCTCCATCTCTTGACTCTAACACGATTTAAATGGATTTCATGTATACAGAAAGAGTACTTCATCCCCCAGGTCACCGACCCTTTACTTAATATCTCGATCTGTGGCATGAATCTGCAATAACAACAGGTTGGAATAAATTTGTTTCTAAAACCCATTTGGCATATGCCAGTTTATGCAATGTTTATCAATATGAGAAAAAACAGTTTAATCGACCTCGTGACACAAAACTATAGTCTCAAATCCTGAAAAGAAAGCTACTACTGGCTTCAGAAATAAAGTATCTACAAGCAGCTCAAGTAAATCAGGAGACCCTGGACGTGTCCACTCACTGTATCATTGCCCTTGTACGGCACGGAGCCACGCCCACCAGCTATACTGAAGCCCAGACCACCAGCATCCCGATACAGTGTGGTTCCAATTGTCTGAAAGTGAAGGTGATGCCTTGTTAGATAAAGACAACACTTGGTTGGATCTGATGGAGTGTGAAAGGGAAGATTTCAAGGAATTGAATTCCCCATAGGACACCTAGTGTTTTCACCTATGATACTAGTAAGGCCCTCTTTGTTCAGGGAACTAGCTGCCTGACAGGTATTTCACTGTCACGATGTGATGTTGGAAAATGAAAACAAATGTAAAAGGTGATTCAGATTTGATTAGTTTGTGGGGTTTTCACACTTCAGATAAATGTTGAATTACCTCCCCATACACCTCCATCTCTGGCTCCGGACTGAATGACACGGTGGCCACGCTGGTGTGGGTGTGGTCCTCCCCGTCACACACCTTGGTTACAGAAAGAAACATGGAGATTACATGGTTCATACACATAATCCATCTCCTAGTAAAATTTTAGTTTGCCTCATAAGGCGAAAAGGGCAGATACATATATTGATGAAACAAATTTAAAGAACCCTACAATAAACATTTCACAAACCTAATCAATACACATGTGCACACAGAAAGAAAAAGGTAACTCTCTGGAGAAATATTTTCAATAAATAAATTTTGTGATTTATTAGACTATGAAGTTATCCAGGAAGCTTTTCACTCCTAATATTGTGTTAAAAAAGCTATGAATCATAAATATTGCTAAACTCCATTATGCATCAAAAACACTCATACATTGGACAAGATTTCACTGAATAGACCTCAAGAAAACGATGTAATTATGAAAAGCAATGAGAACTATGTGACATACATCAGCAACTGAGTTGGGCACAAGCCTCTCCCTGCCTACAACCATGATGATGTCATTCCCACTGCTCTTCAAGACGTTGACAGCGTCGTAGTGGTCAGCATCCTTCAGGTCCTGGCCATTAACCTGGTCAAAGGGAGACAACTTTTCATGATGCCACTTGAGGAATAGTTTTCAACAAAAGTTATCCACCTTCATATATCACCTCAGATCATCCATGACCTTAATTTTATTTTCCCATGATTTGCAGATCCATTTTGATAATGCCAATTCAAATTTCTTTGTGAAACAAATTCAGCAGTTTTCTGTTCTGATTAAATGACATGTGCACATCAATGTCCATTTCAGACTATCCTGTATTTATGGAGTTCCAGAGGTAACATGATTGATTCATATATCATGTCCACCCTCCAATTTGGATTCTTGCAGTTCTTTGTAAATATATTTTGTACCTTTTCATCTACATCTACTGGCTCAATTCCCACTGGCTGCATAATCCATAACCCATCCATGTAGAGATCAAGAATATTTTATTCAAAATACTGAAGTTAAATCAAAGAATGAGAAGGGGATTCATCATCGGCCACCATTATGATCACCACTAAGACTCACTGATATAAGTTTGTCGCCTTTCAATATGCCCGACTTCCCTGCAGGACCTTCCTCCGAAACTCTTGAAATAAATATACTCTGAAACAACAAGATGATAAATCTGACATGAACAACAGTTCCGTCTGTCCATAGCACATCAAATCATTTTCATCAGATCTTAACACTTTCACATAACCTAAGACTTGTCAGCCTCTATTGATATGCAAGAACAGTTTATTTTTCACTACATTCACAAGATGTTTGTATCAACAGCTGACTATACTACAAAGACGTATAAAAGAAAACAATAAAATATCAACTTTGAACAAGATTCTAAACACAGCCTACATAGAAATCATATTTCAAACCAACAATTCAAATGGTATCTTCGGCAATGTTACAGAATACACACCTCATCGTCTCCTTTATATGGAGTTGACCCCCTTCCCCCTGCAATGCTGACCCCCAACCCCTGCCCGGGTTCACGGCGTATGGTAATAGCCACCGCCTCTTCCTCCACCTTCACTGGGACGTGCTGTGTTGTCAAGGACATCGTCTCATCTTCTGGAGGCTGCCACAAGATAGGTCACAACATCTCACAACCATAGTGTCTCATGGCACAAGGAACCAAAAGTGTCCCCAGAATGAAAAATATCTTAGAAATTTTATATCAAGTACTTGGTATCTATCATAAGCTCTTCAAACTTCAAAATCAGAAGACTGTTACATATTCATGTCAAAAAGGGGATAACTGCATCATTTAGGAGCAATGCAAAGAACAGGTTGAAATACAGAATGCTTATAAAGCTGTAAGAAAAATACTGGTTGTAGTCATAGTTGAGTACCCAGTAAGATGGGTTGGTAATGCGAATGTGAATCTTCTAAGACCTAACAGGCAGCTTTTGTTGCAAACTCTGAGAGATTTGACTGTACACTGATCCACTGATGGGTAGTAATGTCATGGAATATTGTGCTAACTAAATTACCATCACATTATGATCACATTATGATCACTACTTTATCAACAAAATCTGACACTCACTACAACTGAGTACCTACAAGTAAATCTCCCTGTCCCTAAGACTCAAGCACAGACTCCCAATACCCTCTCAATCCCCATTCTTTGTGTAGATGGTAGACTCACCGCTAAATCAGAATCTACAGCTGCTTTATCCTTCTGTGCAGCGGCTTGTGCAAGTATTTCCCGCACTTTCTGCTCAGCATCCTCCTTGCTGCTGTTCAGGTTGATACGCTTGTTCTTGAGGTAGTGGGGCGTGTCGCGGCGGCGGAGTCGGTGGTCCTTCTCGGGCTGCTCCTCTATGTCGTCAGCAAAGCCCACCTTCCTCTCACGCATGTCTTCCGAGTCCTACAGCAACATCAACACCTAATATCATCCATTGTCTGGTGGGCATTCCTTAGAAGTTGATGGATGACAAAGTAGACACATCTTCAGGACAACAACTTCTTTAAAATACTGTTATTGTTATCTTCCGATATAGATCCATATACCGTTTTCACGCAAGACTGCTAAGTGTAATATCATCCAATTTTATCTTGTATGCTTAAAATTTATCATCTTTGTTTAAATATTTTTTGTCTGTGTGTTTGTTGACAAGCACACACAATTAAATCTACTATGTATATATTCTTACATATTCTTATTTTGTCTCCATATATATTATTATAGTCAATACGAGAAAACATGGTAAAGTCCTCAAGTTCCCAGCTATATGACAACAGCCTGTAAATACTTGAGTCTGAACCAGACAATCCAGTGACAGTAACGATCCATGCCAGTGGGTAAGACGACATGCAATCAACCAAGTCACTGAGTGTGGCTGGGTACCAAGTCTGTCCCGGACTCCCCACAGAGTTTCACTGATAAACCCCAGACCTCAGTATTTACTGTCTGGGCATCTCGGACTCACATTATCACTATATTCATCCTCGCTCCTTGTCCCATCTGCATCTTCATCAGAGTCGTCAGCCTTGCGTTCCCTCAGCTCCCCGCTTTCATGTGACGTGTCCATGGCCCGGTCATCTGACATCATAGTGACCGGGGCGATTGTCACACTCTTCAGGAGGGGCTGTGTTTCCTTCGGAAGCTCGTCTTCTTCTGTTGATGATTCCGACTCCACCTGAGGGGGCGGCGGTCCTTCCAGTTCAGGGGCTACAGCAGACATCATTATTATCATCATTATCATCTCTCACTCATAAATACATCTTCCATTTCTCAGGCACACATAAATACAATTGTCAAGCACACAATTAAATCTACCATGCATGTTTTCATATTTTGTCTCCATATATATCATTATAGTCGATACAGGGAAACATGGCTAAGTCCTCGAGTGTCAGTATGACACCATAGCGTCAGGTTCCTGTCGGGACCAAAAGGTTCCCACATATAAACCTAATAGGGGTCTAGTTAACGTGGTTCGACTTTTTAATTATGTCTAGGATAGAAATTAACAATTGCCCGCTAGCTCAGGGCTAGTATAAATTCCTGTGGCAAGTACAAATTTCCACATACTTTCAACATAACAAGGGCATTTTAACTTTACCCGGACTAGTGAAGCTTTTGAGTTTAGTTCTAACCCTCATCTCAGTCGATTTGAAAATAATCCTTGAAACTTGTTAATAGCATTGAAACAGTCATTATTCCAAGAAAAAGGTGAGTAGACTAAAACATAGTTCCCTTGCTTAAATCGGTTGTTACCTTTGATGATCTGTGGTGGCTCAATAAGCATGGCAACCTTCCTCTCGGGTTTGTCATCAACCGATGAATGGTCATCTTCTGTCCAGCGTGGATCATTGTCCCTCTGTGGCATGAACGCCTTGTCCTGGAACACATTACACACCAATGAGTGTATGCATGGTGGATCAGGGCGGGGCAGATTGCAGTGAAGGCAGGTTTTGAAAATAACAGAAGTCCACTAGTCAGAGAGAGCAGAATTCAGGAAGGACTAGTGACTTTTCCATGTGGACTACCGCTTTATCATTAGGTAGAAAACAACACTGACAGGAGTGGGGGGGGGGGGGGGGGGGATAAAATTTCTAACCCTGTTACCGTCTGAGTACAGCAGTACCATGACATGTTCACTGATTACGAGTGCTTATAAGGATACTATTCAGGATGGAACACTTTTCTGTTTAACACCGCTCTCAGCAATATTCCACCTATATGACGGTGGTCTTGAAATAATCAAGTCTGAACCAGACAATCCAGTGACTGACATCATGAGCATTGATCCGCACTGTTGGGATACGATGACATGCATCAACCAAGTCAGTGAGTCTGACCATCCGTTCCCGTTAGTCGCCTCTCATAACAAGCAGTCGCCTTTTAGGGTTGTTGAAGACCTATTCTACACCGGATCTTCACAGGTCTGGAAGCACTTAGATAAGGATATACTTATATACTTATGTACTATTGACATTCCAAACCTGTTGACATATGCTATCACTGTTCATGTTATCACCAAATTATAACATAACAAAAACTTTGCATCATAAAGGACTGACATGTTCGCAGAGCTAGTCCTGATTGACACAGGGAGGTAAGTGGAAAGGCAATGAGGGCTACTCGTATTGGACACTGAGGTGATGCGTGTGGTTAGGACAGCCAGGTAAGTGCTGTATCTTCTCCTCCAGGAGTAACCCATCTCTGCAGTATCCAAACTTGGCAACAACTTCAGCAACCATTCCTCATCATTACTTCATGTGTTTGTTTACATGACATTCCTCCATTACCCGTATATCCATACAGCTGCTCTGTGGTGTTATAGTGATGGGTGTCTGTTTATTCAGGAAATGAGTGAGTGAGTGAGTGAGTTTGGTTTTATGCCGCTTTTAGCAATATTCCAGCAATATCACGGCGGGACACCAGATATGGGCTTCACACATTGCACCCATGTCAGGAATCGAACCCGAGTCTTCTGCGTGACGAGCGAACACTTTAACCACTAGGCTATCCGACCGCCCCAGTCAGGAAATGAAGGCTGTCTATAACACAAGGACGTCAAACCCTGCCCTATCTTTGTGTGAAGCCATCACCTAACATGGAAGCAATGTCGAGTAGATGTCCGCCAGGCTGTCGCACATGTTGCAGGAGATATATAGAGAATCTCACCCTCATGTCTTTTGATATCAAATATTCAACGCAAGTCAATGAAAGTTTAAAACTCTGGGCTTGCCAAGGAGATTTAAACTCTCAACAATGATTGTTGTATATTTGATATCAAAACACATGAAGGTGAGATTCTATTTATTGTCAAAGTTATTCTTCCAAATTTTCAGTTTGTATAGAGAAATAACCTGTGTCTTGAGTGTACAAATTACTGCTGAGCAGCATCAGTGTCTGTGAGATAAGGGATGTCATTTTATTGTGATGTCATGGTGATCACTGATGTCACAAATTATTTATGACACAACTGTGGATAGTTTTGATGATAAACTGCCAATGTGAACTGAGAGTTCATTGGTGTGAGCAATCACTGGCTCCCCTCTTGCTTGAAGCAGACTGTGGCTTTAATCATTGGTTAAATGAAGCAACAACACCACAAAGCGACCATGTGTATTCACTGGAGATGAAGGAACATAGTGTATACACCCCCCCGTGGAGTACTGATGATGGCAGCCATTAGATGGAATAACTAGAAAAAGGACCTAATACTGTCAGCCAGACAAATGTCATGGATAGCAGAACAAGAACAGTCTTTGACATTAGCCTGGAGTCTGAAGACCAAGCCCCGAAAGTTCATTATGCCGCTTTTAGCACACATTTACTCAAGCAGGGATTCAAACACAGCCCTCGACATGACATGGATTGCTTTAACCCATAGGCTACCCCATGGGATACGACCAGCACAGGTTGCTGGGGAACTATTCTAACCAGGAATCCCCAATGGGGTACGACCAGCACAGGTTGCCGGGGAACTATTCTAACCAGGAATCCCCAATGGGGTACGACCAGCACAGGTTGCCGGGAACTATTCTAACCAGGAATCCCCAATTGGGTATGACCAGCACAGGTTGCCAGGAACTATTCTAACCAGGAATCCCTAATGGGATACGATCAGCACAGGTTGCCGGGGAACTATTTACTCAAGCAGGGATTCGAACACAGCCCTCGACATGACAAGGATTGCTTTAACCAATAGGCTACCCCATAGGATACGATCAGCACAGGTTGCTGGGGAACTATTCTAACCAGGAATCCCCAATGGGGTACGACCAGCACAGGTTCCCGGGGAACTATTCTAACCAGGAATCCCCAATGGGGTACGACCAGCACAGGTTGCCGGGAACTATTCTAACCAGGAATCCCCAATGGGGTACGACCAGCACAGGTTGCCGGGAACTATTCTAACCAGGAATCCCTAATGGGATACGACCAGCACAGGTTGCCGGGGAACTATTCTAACCAGGAATCCCCAATGGGGTACGACCAGCACAGGTTGCCAAGAAACTATTCTAACCAGGAATCCCTAATGGGGTACGACCAGCACAGGTTGCCGGGGAACTATTCTAACCAGGAATCCCTAATGGCATTCGACCAGCACAGGTTGCCGGGAACTATTCTAACCAGGAATCCCTAATGGGGTACAACCAGCACAGGTTGCCGGGAACTCTTCTAACCAGGAATTCCTAATGGGGTACGACCAGCACAGGTTGCTGGGAACTATTCTAACCAGGAATCCTCAATGGGGTACGACCAGCACAGGTTGCTGGGAACTATTCTAACCAGGAATCCCCATTGGGTACGACCAGCACAGGTTGCCGGGAACTATTCTAACCAGGAATCCCTAATGGGGTACGACCAGCACAGGTTGGTGGGAACTATTCTAACCAGGAATCCCCAATGGGGTACGACCAGCACAGGTTGCTGGGAACTATTCTAGCTCCGAATCCCCATTAGGCTCAATGACCCACTTAAGTCTAGGGAAACATATAAGTTTAGTGAGACTTGTATGGGTTGCAGACAGCAGTTCATACATCCAGACTAAAATGCATGATACTACCACCTGCCTGGATGAGAAAATCCTTGGTTAAATATTCACAGCGACATACATTAAGTGCCCAACTTCAAAAAGCTACAGATACTGATACTGGTGTTTGAAAATATACTTTAAGTCAGATCAATTTATTTTATTGTTCATGTCTTAATATTTCTATCTATTTGATTGAATCAATCTTATTGTAAAAAAATGTTTCTTGTTTTTTGTCAAAACCTTTTTTTCAGGAACTTTCATCAGATAACAGTGGCATGGTAACAAAGAACATCTGAACGGAGTTGACCAGACCAAAGACCCTTACCCTGTCATTAAATCTGTCATGCAAAACATACAATGATGAAGTTTCCACAAAATGCAGAAATAATGTTTACTGATATAGCTACAGGCCAAGTCAAGAGGAAATAGAAATAGTGTCAAATGAGCACATGTATAACACAACATAATGAATGCTATTCACAAGGAGCAAAGTAATATATCAATTGCAGTGTAGTGTCTCAACAATCTCACCTCTGCAGTTTTTTCATTGTGGGGAATGACATGACCGTCGATGCCTTTGTTCTGTTTGACGAACTTTGCATGCCGAGCTTTCAGTTCTTTAGGATGTGGAGTGTCATGGCGTACAAACGTGGTCTGTGGGAGTAAGTGGAGGCAGATATGACATGCAGACAGGCAGATATTCAAACAGACATTGGCAAGACAGGCAAACAGACCAACAGACATACACGAAAGCAAACATTGGGTTCCACCAAAGACAAGAAAGATAGCAAAGACCATTTGAGAAACTGCCAAACACCTTGTGTCTTCAGGCAGAGTATTTGTGTTTTGAAAATGTAAATTAATTGATGAAAGTGTCATACTATGCATCAATAATGTTTAATAGTTGGTAACTGTTTGGCCTATGGTTTAATAGTTATAATGTCAGGGTAAGTGACAAGATTCTCCAATATGGAGTCGATGCAGCATAGAAGCTTGAACAAACTGCCTCATACCCTGTGCCTTCAAACACGTTACCACAAAAGTGATCCTTGTGTGTTTCTATCATACTTAATTTGGAATTTCAATAGTAGTGTGAATTGAGATTTCATTAATAATGATAATAGAAACAATATGTTGATTTCCACTAGATAATTATCAAATCGATTTACTAGCACTTAGGCACACCTGTTACCAAATAGGAGATGCATATATTTTCGAAAGATTACATTCACTGTATTTAACGTAATAAGTGCCCCGTTCTATCAAGCGCCCACAGCGATATTTGATAATATATTGGCTAGTGAACAATCCCAATTAGCACCCCTTCTGTATGGTCAGTGTACACAAGACTTACTTATTTGTGTATGATATGCACTTGTGTGTTATATGCACCCTTAATTATGGGCAATTAAATTTTGAAAAAATATATCTGTTGTGTATAATACGCAGACTTTTCTTATGTATCATTTCAGGCTGTCAGCATAAACCACAAAATTTATCTTTTAACTGTTTCACCAAAATTCTATTCGAATAAGAGCCCCCTATTTTTAATTTTGAGAGGGCTGTGGGTGCTTATTACGTCGAATATGGTAACTCATTATGAAAACATAAAAAGAATGTGGGTCAAACATAGATACATGCAACAGATAATGGATAATTGAAGAATATAAGACAAAACTTAAATAATAAGATAAGTGATGCATAAGTTGTATGGAGCAAGAAGACTTTCAAACATTGCTTAATTACAGGTATTACTAAAGTTACAGCAGGTGTTATTAGACGTGAAAGTTTTAGGAAACAGGAGGCTATATGTATGTTCATGTGTACCAAAGATCTCTTCATTGAAGTTTTCATTGACATGATATAAACACATCTACATCAAAACATGGGCTAAAACAGTGTTAAAATAACATACATTATTTGCAAGAGATTATAGAATGTCCTTGTAACAAATTCATTAATTCAAGAGCCATAAAATGCCATAGCTACCTCTGAGTCTTCATCGGATTCCCTCTCATGTTCAGCAAACCTGATAATACTCTCGCGCTGATTTCGTTGTGTGCTGTCCGTCCAGCTGAGTCGACTGTCGCCATCTGTTGCCGTGCTGCCGCGCAGCAGGTTCTCTGTCAACAACACAACCATATCGCTACAAGTCTACGCTTTAAGTCCACTAGTCATTATAATGATATAATATAACAAAACCTTTAAGATGGCAAATTTCTACTAGTTCTTATAATGCCGTAACTTTTGGAGATTTTGGCAAGGACTAGAAGACTTGTGCCAATTTGTAACACTGGAGAGGGCTTAGTTTGTGTATCCATGCAGAACCAGCATGCTAAGAACACACTAATTATAGGTCACAGGAAAAAGTGTCGATAGCGCTTTCGCTAAATGTGCCTCATGGGTGTCAGCTGGTATGTGTTTGCATTCACTGTGAAACTATCATGAATCGGCAGTCGTTGATGTCATATTCTAAATCTAATTCTATATTGCCAATATGAAGCGGTGTTGCCAAGAATCCTCCAAGAAAGGGTGTTACATGTCAAACAAAATTTATTCCCATTTTCCCCGAATGGGAATACTGCTGCAACATTATTAAAACTATGATACCACTGCACTGAAACCTCATTGCCTGACATCATCGCACAGTATGACATCATCAATGGAATGGAATTAGTTTAGACATTTAACAAAGAAATGAAATTTTGACCATACGTTCTTATTTGTGGGTGCAGAATTGTACAGGAGACAGTCCACTCACTCATGCTCTCTGTGACATTTAACAAAGTAATGAAATTTTGACCATACGTTCTTATTTGTGGGTGTAGAATTGTACAGGAGACGGCCCACTCACCCATGCTCTCTGTGTGGAAGCCTTGTTGAGGGAGCAGGAAACAGGTGAGCACTTTCTGTCCTGTCCGCTCATCGAAATCGGTCTGGAACTTCAGCATAGGCTGTGCCTGGTTCTCGGACAACCACAAGGCCTTCAGGTTGAGGTTCATGACTGTGATTGGCAGATACTCCAACCTGTAACAACAGACAGGGCACTCTGTAACAACTATGTATAACAGTAATATTAACACTGATAGCATTCCACATGGCGTTACTCAGGTGTAGGCAAATCAATGACCAGTGTTAAAAGGACTGGTCCAAGTTTAAAATTTGTCTCTCATTTGATGATCCTTCAAAATACTGTACATATTTATAAAAATTATATTCTTATATTTCTTATAGGTTTTCATGACTTCTAGTTACAGACATGATGAAGAAAATCTGAGTTGCTAATGAAATGCCAGGTCAGTCAGGTTTCACAAGCATTATATTTTGACAATTGCTTTGGCCATACTTGTTCCGGCTATATGTTCTGATGTAGCTCACCTGTTCCCTGAGACATCTAAGACGTGTACTTTCACCAGGTTGCCCAACTCCTGCGGTAGCCTAAGCAGCTTGTTGTCTCGCAGGGACAGGACCCCCAGTTTGGTGCATTTCCCCAGCTGCAGAAGACACACACACAACATACAGGTCACGCATCTTGGCCAACGTACACAATCTCAAGCATATTCCTAACAGCTTTTGGTCTCTTTGCTTGTTGTGCAACATTGCACTAACAGTTGAAAGTCATTGACAACTACACAAATAGTTCATGTGTAAATCACAAAACATTGGATGAAGGTCAAAGTAATATTTCAGGGTCATAAATTATTGTATAATGTCGCACTCAGGTATATTCCAGAAGTAGGAGTATGGTCTGTAAATATTCTGGCCATGCACAATCTCATTAAAATCAGACCTTAATTCTCGCTACCGCTGAACAAAGATCTGAAGACATCCCATAAGGGGTCACGTCAGAACGACTTTTCATCCGACTAATCAGAGCGTCACTTACCAGATTATGAAAGTGACAGTTGGAATATGATTTCTACCTCGAATTCATAACACAGGGTATTCCGAACGATACTTACGGGTTTAACTACGACTGAATCCATACAATCTAGATCATCTATTAGCCATTCCAGAATGTTCTTTTGTTCAGGTTTCAAATTTGTAATCGAGAATTTGTCAAAATATGTTTCGAAGCATAGTCGCCAATTTAAAATTGGTGCCGTAAAGCACAAGAAAGCTCCCTTCTGATTGGTCAATCCATTGGTCGGTCAAAGTTCGCGCAAGGTCGGTCTGACGTGACCCGTAATGGGATGTCCTCAAATCTTTGTTTAGCGGAAGCGAGAACTAAGATCTCATTTTAATGAGATGGGGCCATGCAGTCCAGTGACGGATATTATGAGCTATGATCCACAACCTTGGGCTTTAATGACACACAATCAAGCAAGCCACTGAGCAATGCAATCCGATCCATAGGTTGCTAGTTCTAACCACAAACCCTTTGGGAATGCAAACAACTAATTGCTTCAGTGTAAATATTGCTTTATTTAAGGAAAATTACCATAATCATTAAGTTTCAATATCAGATGCTTCATAATTATTCGAAATGAAGGCAATTCAGTTCACACTTCAGATGTGAAAGTCCTTGATTGCCTCCGACAGCCTTCTGCAGCAGCATGGGGTCAATACCTTGCTGGGCAGAAATATCTGAAGAGACCCATCAAGGCAGGATGGCAATGTATGACTGCACATGACAAAACAGCAATTCATGTTGAGCAATAAACAAAATAAATACTGCTTACCTCTATTGGAATTTCTGTAAGTCTGTTTCTATCTACATTCAAATTAGACAGATTTTTTAGCTTTCCTATTGTTATTGGCAAATCCTGAAATGGAAAAACTTGTATTTAACATTTGTTTTGAAACCACTTAAATTTGTTTGAAAAAGTCTTTAATCATAATGTAATCTTCATATTATTTACAATTTGTTCAAAAGTCAAGAATGAGTTAGGGAATGAATATATTTTACCTATCCTTAACCTTTCAGGTAGATCTATGCATTACATCCACCCATATACCCTGAGTGTTTCCTAGTGTTGCCCATTCTCCAGATCTCCAATCAGCTAGCCAATCAAACCACACTACGGACGTACATAAAATCTTCTACCAGGGCCCTGTTCCACAAAGCGATCTTAGTGCTAAGATAATCACAACTCCCATGTGTTAACATTTACTTACTGCAATTGTAGCACTAAGATCACTTTGTAGAACAGGGCCCAGCCCTCATCTGAATATTGTTTGTTGTTTAACGCCGCACTCAGCAATATTCCAGCTATATGACAGTGGTCTGTAAAGAATCGAGTCTGGACCAGAGAATCCAGTAATTGACATCATGAGCATTGATCCACACAATTCGGATATGATGACATGCATCAACCAAGTCAGTGAACCTGACCACCCGATCCTGTTAGTCACCTCTTATGACAAGCATTGTCGCCTTTTATGGCGAGCATGGGTTGCTGAAGACCTATTCTATCCCGGATCTTCATAAATCATCTGAATACGGAGTGAGAACAAAACTAGCAGCCCTGAATACCAGCAGCAGCTGGAAGAGGGCTCTGTGTCATGTACCATAAAATAGCTGACTAAAGGATTTACATGTATCCCTTGGCTCGAAATGTACAAGCAACTTGCTGGGTGTGTGTTTCAGTAAAGTGTCCACGATGATTATTTAGACTGCCATGCTTGAAAAGCTTCACAATGACACTGAATTCTGATTGATTGAATTTTACATTCTGCATACTCTTCCATATTCAAACCATAAGAAACTTGGTGCAAATTATGAACTAGTCCCTGTTGCATCCCTCCCTACAGCATTATATAGGACTGTGGTCTGATCAACCTTCTGGTCAATCATACATGCACAATACTTACTGATAATAAGTTCTCTGTTAAAATTAGTTCTTGTAAATTTTCACAGCTGAAAAATAAGGAGAAAAAGTATAAAAAGTGTTCCATGTCATTTTCAGTAATTAGCACTGAACTAAGGCGTTAAGTTTGCTGTAGTTGATTATAAATCTGTTCTTAGACCATTACACATCAAATTACCTGCGTTGATTTAGTTTCAGTTAGCATTCATGTAGTAAACAGGCACCCTCATGCGAAGTTTAAAAACAAGGAATCAGGAGATGACATATCCCCCGGTCTGGTGCAATTCCTAAATGGATTTTGGCAGCTAATACCCCAATTTTGGTTCACTGCCACTGGACACCTTCAGTTTAATGAAGAAACAAATAATGCTGTTCAGCATTTTCCAAAATCCCAAATCATCAAAAGGCACTTAGTTCACCACCCGGCTGATCTGTATAGCAAGTTTAATCTAGAAATATTCAACGGTTTTGGAGGTCTGCTTCGGAAATGAGCACTACCCTCATTTTCTGGAAAGTACAACTTGTCGTCATGAAGAAATAAAAAAATAAAATATAAAAATCTTTAAAAGGGACCAGTTCACCACTGGACTCATCTACAAAGAAAGTCTCAGCAAGAAATATTTTAAATTTTTTTAAATTCTGCTCGGGAAACGGAAGAACAGACGGACAGATGGAGATATAGGGATCAGCATGTCTATCCATCTGTCCTTTCGTTTCCAGAGCAGAACTCCAAAACAGGACTGCGGGACATACTGATTGTTATTTCCCCACACACACCCTTTCCAAACTGAGAGATAAAAAACAGAATTTTATTGCAACATCCTATGATTTACTCCATTTGGAGCAAGTGAGTGTGGTTTTTTGCCGCTTGTATCAATTTTCCAGCAATATCACAGCAGAGGACAAAGAGTGAGTGAGTTGGGTTTAACGCAGCTTTTAACATTATTCCAGTTATATCACAGCGTGTCAGCTTAATGTGGGAGGAAAGCCCAAAGTGATGCAGGTCTCAGATGTTTACCACCTCGGTGAAACCCACGAGGACAGGTATGGTGCTGACAAACCTAGAAACATAATCGGGGCGAACCGGGATTCGAACCCACAACCATAGGTTTCTGGCGTGCCCAAGGGACGCAACTCTGCACAGCGAATTGCGGTGCCTTAGACGACTGGGCCAAGAGGACAAAGACATGGGCTGTACACATGGAACCTGTGTGGGGAATCAAACCCAGGCCTTCAGTGTGACATGCACATGCTTTTACCACTTGGCTACCCTGCTACTCCTGTTCCATATAGAAGTCGTCAATACATTCACAAATCGCTTGTAAGTATGTATGTTTCAAGATGCAATTCCCAAAGAAGCCGCTTGTTTTACCAACTATTTTCCTTGCAAGACCTGCCTACCTTCCTATGTGTGGAGTCAGGGCGATCAGCCGGTTCTGATCAACTTTCAAGATGGCTAGTCTCTTCAGGAACCCTGAAACACAAGATTCATCACGTGTCAACACACTGTTTATTCTACAGGGATGTGACTAGAAACCTTCCAATTCAATATTCAGGTTTTGTGACGACACAAATAGTTTTTTTGGTTGTTTTTGTGATTCATTGTAAATGTAACCATAGCATAACAAGGACTTGAATGACTTTGAAGAACAGCAACAAAACCATGTTTTTGGGCCGAAATTGTTTTTTTCTTTGAAATGCACAAAGATGTGGAAATGGGGGACCCAGTCCCATGCTTTATCACTGACTGCTATGTAACAGAGGTGGAACCGGACAAACCAGTGTTAATAGCTGGAGCAATGATCTACTTCATCGGGGTACAAAAGTTGAAATTAAGCAGGAAAGTCAAATAGGTACTTGTCATTATCTTAATGTTACAAAAGAAACAGTTAGAACCCTAGATTCAATGTATTCTTGGTGATGGAGGAACATTGTGCACAAAGGGCCGTGAAGTGTCTGATGGGTGCCCTCACGAATGGCCTACCTATTCCATCAGGCAGGTATTCTAGGTTGTTCTGAGACAAGGAGAGGTCAGTCAGATTGTGCAGGCCACCTATCTCCTCTGGCAGATAGTCCAGCTGATTCTCAGAAACATCCAGCTGTGTCAACCTCTTCAGGTTGCCGATCTCCTGAACACAGAATGAAGTGTTTAAGGCAAAGACAGAGCATCTGTCAATATAGAACATAGACTGATATTTCATAGCATTAACACAATAGTTAACAGATACTAGCTACTTTTTACATTTTAGGTACTACACAAGGAGATACAAAAACAAAGTTCATTGATCAAGCATCTCAAAACATAAGTGTAGGTCACTGATTACCATACAAAACAGTTCATGTGTAAATCACAAATCATTGGAAGCAGGTCAAAAATATATTTTTTATCATTAGAAGTTGTTTGATGGAAAACGGCACACTCTGCAATATCCCAGCTACATGACCACAGTCTGAAAATAAGTCTGGGCCAGACGATCCAGTGATTATCTGTTGACAAGTCACAGGTCCAAGATGTTGGGCTATGACTTAAAGACTGTCATGCTTTTGTATCTTAGATATCTTTACTCCAGAATAGTGACAGACCCCAGGCCTGTATGTAGCAAAATCTGTGTGGATAGCAGATGTAAAAAAACTGCTTGAAATTGTTTATATCACTTGTCTATCAGTTCTTATCTAGACTGCATGAAATACATAAGCTGTTAAAACATTTAATACATTGATATTTACAGACAACACTTATTTTCGTTTACTTATTTATTACACATAATTCTAATATGACTGCTGATTTTGTATTAGTCGATACCATTATTACCAAAAATGGTACAAAAAGGAAATGAACTGGATTTAGCTCCTTCAGTGTCAAAGAGAAAGACACTTCATTCTCCTATGTTGTAGCTCAACACAGTATTAGTCAGGAACCATTAAACTTGAGGAAATATGTCACAAGGTGTTCTCCAAAATCTCGATAGAGACAAATTGGTCTTCCCTTTTCCAGGATTTCAATCATTTTTAATAGGACAATCATTCCTATTATTACCTATTACAGACATATTGCAGAACTTATCTGCCGTGGGCTATAACATAGATCACCCTGACAAACAGCCCATGGTGCTAACTGTTCTACCGTTTGATTACCAGGATTTGCCATTCCAATCAAAATTAGGTTAAAAATGTTGAACTCATAACCAGTCTTCAAAGAAAAAGTGATATCACCTAATTTAGATTATACACGAAACTGCCACTATGCTGACAGGTATATTCGAGGGCCAGATAGACTAGCCTTCAGTCAAACAGAAGCACACATCATTCGACACTGTTCCTCTATTACGTTCAAAGGGCACCAGACTAATGATATATCTCTCAAGCAGTTCCATTAGTTAAATAGGTGTATGTCTCCCTGTCTGGGGGCTGAGCTCCACCTGCTGGGGAGATACTCACCACTGGCAAATCAGTGAGGTCATTACAGTCCAACCACAGCTCTTCCAGAGATGGTAGATGACCTATTGTGTCCGGCTGCAAGTGGGAGAGAGCAATATGAAACATGGGCATCATCACAACATGGAGAGGGACTAAGTGTCTTGCTAATTTGGCAGAGATCTAGCCGTGTTTCGCTAGCCTGAGGTGGTATGATATTGAGGCTCACTAGATTTTCTTTTGAAAGCTACAGATTTCACCAGATGAAAGGACTATAGGATGTAGCTAAGCCACATTCAGACATTCATATCCAACCTGCCACATGTAATACTCCTTACAACAGGCTCGTAGCGTACTTGCTTCCTAAAAACTAACTTTGTTCCTAAAAATATTCAGTAATTCTTTGTCGGCCAAAGAAATGATTATTTGGAAATACTGACAAAAAATAAAATAAGATGCATTCGTCTTATGTCAAATTCCCCACTGCCTTAAAACATCATAATGGCAAAATAAACTTTGCCTTCTACATTCCTGATTAGTTCCTCAACATCAATGAAGCAAAGAAAAAACTTTTTTTGGAACATTTACATGTTTCCAGTTCACCACATTCCTCATCATGCATGTACCACATCATAATCAGGCTCTGAGACATGGACATAATGGCACACATCAGTCCATTACAGATAACCCCATTCCTGTATTGCCAAATTGAAATCCTCTTGTTCCCAATAACAAATGAGCCTCTTGATATCATATGAGAATCCTGACAATCCTCTGTCAGTCAATAGCCTGAGGCAGCTGCCGGCAGTCAGTGATTAGACTCACAGTGATCAATATGCTTCCTTATCCTGTAGCCATATCACTGAAGTTACACTTCAAGGGTGGTCAGTGTTTACAGTCCAAATTACATGATAATTTGCCTGTCAAGGTTTGCTGAAACTGTTGCCTAGAGAAGTGACGGTCAAGGTAGACTATGAATGTTGCCTGGAGATGAAGGTCAAGATTGGTTATGAGAAGTTGCTTATACTCAGAGATGGTCAGTATTGAGTCCAAAGTAGATTGTCATTTGGTGGTCAAGGTTGGCTGAAAATACCGCTCAGAGACAAAGTTTAAGGTTGGCTTTGAATGCTGCCTGGTGACAGAGGTCAAGGTTGGCTATAAATGTTGCCTTGTGATGAAAAGTTCAAGGTTGGTTGTAATGTCCAGCATTGGAAAGGTCATGGATATGACCCACTGAAGTCAAGGTCAAGGTTAGCCATGAACATTGCTTTGTGAGGCCAAGGTCAAGGTGGGCTATAAAAGTGTTGTCAGTTGGTCAAGGTTGAATGGTTGGTGAAGCAAATGAACAAATTACGGTAATCATTTTCAGGAGAGACAAATTGTTGAGTTTGCATGTTGGCACACTCAAAGTTGGTTTCAGTATAAATGTTCACAAAAAAAGTTAGAATTGATCAGATATTTGAGTCTGGAGGCTGGCAGGTCTGTTTTATCACAGTTTAATAAATAATAGTTTCAGCTTCACCATAATCAAAGAGAGCTCCAAGCGGGATTGGCAAGCTTTGAATACATAGTAAACACATGAGCATGCTCATGAATAAACTGTTTACACGAAGAGGTGTTTGTTTCCAAATGACCTTTCATGTCCTGAAATTGCCTGTCATGACAGATATATACCCATGGCTACAGGCAACATCTCAGCATAGCAACTCATTTCATGCGTGATCTCATACAGCCTCTTACAACAGATACTGCCTGTGAGATATCAACTGAAGTCTCTCAGGACATATTGGTTTCCTGATCACTGATTGGTTGATTATAATAAAAATCAATATAAGGCTTGACATATATAACGATTCCCTCAGTGAATCTGCCACATAACCTCTACTGCCAGAAAAACATTTTTATTTAACTTCAACAAAATAATAGCCAAAAGCCCTAACTCTTGAGTAGACTGAACCCAAGTCTTCAATGTGACACAATGAAATATACTGAAGTGTGTAAATCCTGTGAACACACAATGCCATTTAGAAAGTGGTCAAATGTAACACATGTTATATTTGGGATAACACTTTCCGAGTAAAGAACAGTTTCTTATACTCGAACCCACACTGCAAGAGTGAGGCTCCTAATAGCCAGCACATAAAGTCAGCGATCTAACCCACTCAGCCACTCAGCCACCGAGGCTTCCACAAAAATGAAAGTCCGACAACTGGTAGTTTAGATGATATACTTTGTGTACCCCTCTGGCAGTGTGGGTTCGAATCCCGGACGGGACTCAACCTAAACAAGAGTCATCAGAAAGATGACATATCCCCCCGGCAGCTGTCTGTAAAGTAACCACTAGTAAATGTGCAATTCTGTATGTAATGAGTCAACAGTTGAATGTTCTTTAAGAAGCATACATTGTTTACCCACTGAATGGTTTTTGAATTCTGGCCCGTAAACGAACCCGTTCCCCAATGGAGTCTAGGTCCAACTTCATTCCATAAAAATTGTAAAAAATAAAAATTCGTAAAAAAAATAATATCATAAGGCACCACTTCAGTATGTGCCTGAAAGCTTTGCCAACTTTTGATCAAATACACTGAATGGTTTTCGAATTCTGCCCCGGAAACAAACCCCATCCCCAATTGGGTCTATGTCCAACTTCATTCCATAAAAATTAGAAGAAATTGTTAGAAAAATCCCAAAATATCAAAAGGCACCACTTCAGTATGTGCCTGATAGATTTGCCAAGTTTCAATCAAATACACTGAATGGTTTTCGAATTCTGCCCTGGAAAAGGAAATGATTACAGTTGGACAGACGAACGGACAGAGAGACTGGCTGATCGCTATATCCCCCCGCATTATATGCCGGGGGGGGGGATAAAAAGTATGAGAATCTGTACTTCACTCAGAAAGTGTTATACCACATGTAACATGTGTGAATCCTCTTTTTACAACACCACAGCTTGTCAGCCTCATCATGGAAGAAAGCCCAAAGTAACACAGATCAGGGTTGTTGACCACTCTGGTGAAACGTATGAGCTCTTGCTCACTAGGCTGACAGTGACAGCCGAAAACCATAATTAGGGCAAATTAGGGACAGGCAGCTGGAGGATCAGGAAAACACACTGAATGTGAAATAATTAGAGAAAAACCAATAATCTATGAGACATACATAAATATGCATCTCCTGAGCCTTTGGTGAGGGACTTGCAACGTCCCCACACTCGAGACAGATAACCGCTAGTTCTGAGATTTGTGTAGGTTATTTGTATAGCATGACCATTTACAATTTCAAAAAGAAATTTAAAAAACATGGCATGTCAAAAACGGGGAAAAAAACCTTCACCGATTTCATTCTATTATTCCAGCATCAGAAATTGGCACTAGTCCTAAAGTCCTTGCCAAACTGCCCAAAAGTTAAGGCATCATAAGGACTAGTAGAAATTTGCCCTTTTTGAGGGTTTAGTTATGTGTTTTCATCTTAAGGACTAGTGGATAAAACTCTTAGTTTCTAACACTGTAGTCTGATGACTTAACGTTTACTTGATGACGTCATGAACAATGGATGACACCATATATTGTTCCTAACAACACAGCTGTGAGACACGATATATTACTTCAGCACTGAGAATGGCTTAAATGCATATGTGCAAAAATTAGAAAGTTTGTTTCTTGTTGTTACACTGAATCTTAAAACCTTATCCATTAAGTGACCGTTACTTACGACAAGTATTGGCTGCTGGGGACAAATTTTAACCAGGGATACACACAGGCTTAATCTTTTTAGCTTTATGGCTATCAACCCAGAATACCAGGCAAACCCTCTAGAATGTAGCAGCTGAGAAGAACAGGATCAATCTGAAGACATGAACTGGAAACATCTTGGATAACTCACCAAGGCCCCGATCTCATTACTGCCGACATCCAGTATTTTCAGTTTTGTCAGGTATGACAGTGACCTTGGCAACTCCTTCAGTTGGTTTTCTCGCAGCTCCAGAGATTGAAGGTTGGTGAGACTGAAACAAGATTTGTTTTGTTGGTTTCTTGTTGAGCACATTCAGCAACATAACAGCTATATGACAGCAGCCTAGTCTGGACCAAACAATCCAGTGATTGATATTATGAACAACTTACCAAGTCATTGAGTTACGGTGACATGCAATCCACATTTCAAAGACTGACCATCCAATCCATTGTGTCTTGAGATAAGTATAGATTGCTTGGGACCTATTCTAACTCTAAATCCCCACAGGATAACCATACATCTGAGAAGGTTGGGGAACTTGAAAAAATGTTTATTTACAATAAAGAAAGGAAAACAAATCCAGCCAGTATTTAAGACCACTGAGTTTAGAGCTGGACAGTTTTCCATCCTTTATTGCCCTTATAAGTAAAGGAATCATTCTATTTCCACAGGTTTGTTTGTTGTTTAATGCCGCACTTAGCAATGGTCCAGCTATATGATGGTGTCTGTAAAGAATCATTCTAGATAATCCATTGATTGACATCATGAGCATCGACCTATGCAATTAGGATATGATGACAAGCATGAATCAAGTAAGCGAGCCTGACCACCCGATCCTGTTCATCGCTTCTTGCGACAAGCATTGGTTACTGAAGATCAATTCCAACCCAGACCTTCATGGGAAGCCCAATTCAGTTGCCTCTTACGACCAGCAATGGGGAATTCCACAGGTAAAACTGGTGTAGACACTACACACTATCTGTAACTTCATTCATAATACTTTCAGTCAGTTTGCCAAGATGAAGGGAATTTCATGAGTAAATTGAATGAAAGGGGGATATGAATTTACCATTTATGCATGATTCATAACACACGCAACCATAGCTAATAGCAAGTCCCAGTATTGATGCCAGTGCCTGTACGTTAATGCTACATCATATGTCTTCTTGTGTCAATACTAGGGCTGTTGTAAAGTTAATTTGAATCATACAAGCAAAACAAAGAAATATCCTGCGAATACAAGATAACATCTTTGAATATCAGTATATCAAAAGAAAAAGAAATGTGATGAAGTCACAATAAAATGTTTGTTTTGCCGATGCAAATTCAAGACATGAAACCCAAATGTTTATGGCTTCTCTTCATCTGATTGATTCCAAGCACTTCACACTACAATGTCTGAAGATGATCCTACAAGGGGCTGATTTCATCTGGAAACATACTTGCAAAGTTTAATCAATGGCTAGATGTCAACTCCTTGAATATTTTATGTCAGAAATCAAGAACGCTGCCCAGTTGGACATTTGTTACAACTCCCAGATGTCGTGTATTCAAGACTGGAATAAATATTTGATGCAAATGCTTCAACACTTATCATGCTTATTGCTTATTTATTACAAAGCAATATAACTTGTTGTTTGCTGCTCTGACGTTCTTATGACATATAAACATTTACGATCAGTTGATTTGTTTGCTGTTTACTGCCACACTCAGCAATATTCCACCAATACGACAGCTGCCTGTAAATAATCAAGTCTGGACCAGATAATCCAGTCATTGACATCATGAGCATAGATATATGCAAATGAGTTTTGATGACATGCATAAACCAAGTCAGGGAGCCTGATGACATGATCCATTAGTCGCCTCTTACAACAGGCAGGGGAAGCTGATGACCAATTCTAACCTGGATCTTCACAGGGGACCTACCAGTTGAAACCTCTGCTTCAACAACTACATGTCATTCATTGACATCAACAGACCACTGTTTAATGCACAATGAAATGTCACACAATACTACATGTATTAATAACAACTTTTACAATGTTTTAACTGTAATTACTTCACACAATTTTTAACTGACATGAACATACATTTATTTGATATTTATTGCCGACATTAACTATTCATTCATTCCAAACATACCTTGCGATGTCATACGGCAACCTCTCCAGCGATACATCATTAAGGCCGAGGTGTGTAAGGTTCCGGAGCTGCGTCAGACCGTCAGGCAGTCTACAAAATCAATAGCACACTTTATCTATCAGTTCATTACTGTAACAACTGAACTGCCAACTAACGCTGTGAGAATCTGATGTCTGTCTGTCAGATCCCAGATAGTTACATGGACTCACGGATATACTTGGCAGCAAAAAGACTATTGAGGTTCTTGTTATTGAGGGATTAACTTGTGAAAATTATCCTGTAGGCTTCAAGTTGACTCTTACAGCGACATCTTGAGAGGAACCCAAGTCCACTTGCCACGGCAGAACTGCACACTTGGGTTCCTTCCTTGTTGGGAAATTCAATATATATTTTTTTGATGAATCAGTCCAGAAAAATTTTAAGTTGGCAAATCATAGTTTCTTCTTTTGTTACAAGTTCATTAAACGAACGTAAAAGTGAATGTTTTTCACTCCCTATCAAGTTATGTGGCATTATCGTACATTTCTGTCTAATTAACACCAGAATGTATCACTTTTTCCCCACTGCGTTTACCAAAAACTTGAAATAAAAAAACTATCATCTTACGAGAAACATATTTTTTCACTCGTACTATTCGAGTCGAGTCGAGTTGAGGTGAAATGGGGTTCAATGTCGCTGCATTCAAGATGATTGCACTTTTGGAAAAACCCTTCCCATCACAGAGTCATGGGGGTGTATTATTTCTCTCCTCGCGATAAGCAAACAACGGAGAACCTTCCATTATAGGAATATGACAACATGCATAAATTTCACTTATGGTGCCTACATTACTGCCAAGGGATACAATGTCATACTCCTGAGACACTAGTCTATTCAACACGTAACACATCTATTTTAGTTCTTCTATCAGGTTTTTGTTTGATTTGAATGTATTTGTAAGTGAGTCCAAAAACAAGGATTTTCCATTATAGTATAATAAATTCACGTCAAGTATAATGGGTGTCATCATGGTCATACTAACATAACCACAGTCAAACAGGACATATTTCTTTGATGTCTATCTAATGTGAATGAAAAGGCAGGTGTTGAATTAATGAGTGGGTTGGGTTTATTGCCGCTTTGAACAGTACTTCAGTCATGTCCTGGAGTGTCTGCCTGTTGCACGAGGAAAGCCCGAAGTGGTCTTAGACATTTACCACTTTGGCGAAACTCATGAGTATGGGTATTCTGTAACCAGGGTTAGAAACTAACAGTTTTTGTCCACTAGTCCTTATAATGATAACATATAGCAAAAACTTTAAATGGGCCAATTTCTACTAGTCCTTAGGATACTTTTACTGTTGGGCAGTTTGGTAAGGACTATAGGACCAGTGCCAATTTCTAACGCTGCCACTGCAACGAATACACTATGAGGCGAATGCAATTCGTATCACGAATATAGGCTAACAAATACGAACATAGGGTAACAAATACGAATATTAATTCACGAATACAATAACACGTCAGCAGTTGATGTATTGTTTGTTATGTTCAGTGAAGCAATAACAACAAAATATTTGACATCGTTTGTTATAGTAATATAGTATAAATTCTATACTGCACTTATCCAGGTGCTAGTATCTGCTCAAATGTGACAATGACCAGTGACCACAATAGTGTCAAATTAAATAGTATAAGAGTGTTGTCTTTTGAAGAAATCTATGCATATAATATGTTCTTATGGATATTTTCATGTATATGCACATGATTGCATGTTCATAAATATTCGATTCTAGTGGCCACGAAAAAAGGAATTCAATTCATGAATGGATACAGTTCGATTCACCGAATACACGAGTGAATCGTAACAGCCCTAGTATTCTGACATACAATTACAGGATTCTGGCATGCATACCTCTGCACAGTAGACTGCAGCACCTTGGACAATGTAGACAACTGGACCACCCGTGCCCCAGTACAAATGAACAAACACAGAACCTCAGACTGTCTGGGATGAAGGTGAGAAAATCTTATTTTGGCAATGTTGACCTGCAAAAATGGCCCAAGAGCTTGACGCTCATTGTTTAACGTCGTACTCGGCAATATTCCAGCCATATGATGCTGGTCTGTATAATCAAGTCTGGCCCAGACAATCCATAGATTGACATCATGAGCCATGACCTACGCAATTGTGATACAATGACATGCATCAACCGAGTCAGCGAGTAAGACCACCCAATCCCATTAGTCACCTCTTACGGCAAACATAGTCGCCTTTTACGCCAAGCATGACTTGACACTTCATTACTATTTGTGGTCTAGTCAATGATTGACAGATATTGGGAATACCATTAATTCATATCAGCCAAATATCACATCAGTGCAAAGGCACTGTTGCTGACAAGATAGATTCAAAGTGAGCTGAATGTCATAGCATGTGTGACATCTTTAGCCACCATGAAGGCTGTTAATTGGCTGCATAACAGAGGACTCAGAGGACAATATGACATAAAGTCACCAGTGAGTGAGTGAGTATGGTTTTACGCCGCTTTTAGCCATATTTCAGCAATATCACGTCGGGGGACACCACAAATGGGCTTCACACATTGTACCCATGTCGGGAATCGAACCCGGGTCTTCGGCGTGACGAGCGAACGCTTTAACCACTAGGCTACCCGATCGCCCCTAAAGTCACCAGTGTTAAAACATGTGGTGTCACCCTGGGCAAGCGACTTAGTTCAAGTGTGCCTCTGTTCACCCAGCAGTGAATGGGTACCCGATATGTAAATCCCTCTAGCACCCGTAGGCAGCTTTGGTTGTATACACCCCAGAGAGCTGAGAATGATAACTGGAATGCAAATGGATCACTGGTCAGGGAACAAATAAAACTGCATTTGAGCAGATACTATTACCTGGACACCTGCAGTATATAAATGTATAAAATAATTAATATAATAAGAAACTGTCCAGAGTCAAGAGCAGATGGTGGTTCCTAAAAGAAACAAATAATAATTGTTTGAACTTGATCACTGTAATATTCTTAAACATTTGATGTTCTAAATCTATTCAACTGTAGAACAAAAACACAACTTCAAGCTGAAACAAATGCCATGGACAAATCTGAACCCTATTGTAGTTTCACATATCCTACAAAATTTCAGCTCTCTGAACTTCTGAGACTCTTTTCAATCTTCCACAACTGAAGGATAATTTGTTTACTTTTTTTAAATAAGTAAAGTTTTCGATTACATACCATGAACAAAGAACATTCAAGTCAAATAATGGTCCTACACATCTTCCAACAGTAACAGCTCGTTGGGTCTTGTGGTTTCAGAGAAAAAGACTCCTTAGGCTATTCATTTCCAAAAAGTTCTCTTTTTCCACTTCCCTGGCATGAACAGGCAACAAATCTGTATCTCACTGTGTTGCAATGCATCAAATCAATGTTTCAGATTTCTCACCATTCCATTCATTATTATTAGCAATATAATTCTCTTAAACTTAAAATACACACACTGAACTATTGTCAAATGTGAACCTATCACTGTGCTTGACCTCCCCTTAAGGTTTCAAACTCATCCCTACCTTAGTTAAGCTGAAAGCTAACAGAATGACAACAGACAGACGGATAGACACACATACTACAGAATGACATATCCTCATTAGAGACTGGCAAGCTAAAAATGAAATATTTGTTTCTCGTACCCCAATAGACCCTTCACACCGGTTATCAGTGAAGGAAGTCCCAACTTAGCTGTCAGTCAATCAATAGTCTCCCTAATTTAGCCTGCAGGTTACCAGGTGACACCCCATGAGCAGGGCCTTTTCCTAATTTAAAGCTTTCCTGTGAGGAGGATGGCAAATTCTGGTCAAGCAAACCCTAGGTTAGTGATGTTGCAATGATCAATCAGTATCTGTCAGTGTTCAAAACTAAGCATGAAAGTTTAGGGGTACTGGATAACTAATAATATCTTATACTGGTATTGAAATATTGCTGGCTTAAATTTTCTTGTTGTAGGCTATAATCTTGAATGGTTTGAATTGCATTCACCGTAAAAATAAATAACAGAACTAAATACTATTGTAACACATGTATCAATTCCTTACATCAAATGGAAAAATGTATTTGCCCTGACATTTCAGTTACCACAGCAGCAAACTTGCAGCAAATAATAAGACAAATTTGGTGTAGTTTATGTATGTTTGAACCCCATGCTGTGGATACTTGAAAATTCTGAACACCTGTGATGTTAGCCATTGACACCTACTATTTAAGCCAATCCTGGAGAAAGAATTTTAGGTTGAATGAAAAAGAAATCTCAGTAAAAAAATTTAAAAGTAGCTATTGAAATCAAACTTTGTACTGCACCACTCCTATTGTTATAGAAAGTGTTCACCAAGTTTAAAAAAAAATCTATACAGAAGTTTTCAAGTTATAGGTTGCACAAAAATGTCATCGGAAGGATGGACGAACATAATACTTTTATAACTATATTCACTACTCTTTTAGGAAAAGTACCATCCAGTGTCACCTGGAGTAGACAGCTTGTACACACCAAGTGAGTGAGAGAGTGAGTGAGTTGTGTTTAATGCCGCTGTTAACAGTATTCCAGTAATATCACAGTGTGTCAGCTAAATATGGGAGGAGAGCCCAAAGTGATGCAGGTCTTAGATGTTTACCATTTCTGTGAAACCCACGATCATGGGTATGGTGCTGACAAACCTAGAAACATAATCAGGGTGAACCGGGATTCGAACCCACAATCATAGGATTCTGGCATGCCCAAGGGATGCAACACTGCACAGCGAATTGCAGCGCCTTAGACGACTGGGCCACCCGTGCCCCCTGTACACACCAAGATTTTCCCTGGATGACTTTAGATATGAACATTCTTTTGAAAACATTAAAACCACAAACCAGTCTGCGACTTAGCCGCTACCAGTCCAAAGCCTGAGTCATAAAATTCTGTCAAGTCAAGCAAGTACACATAATAACACTAAATTCTCTTGAAAACAATACGAAGAGAAAAATTCTGCCTAGCAGTCTCAAGGTCTTTGGTACAGGCTGCAAAACAGAAACAGCAGTAAAATCCCAACTAACAGATTTGACATCAACCCTGTCTCAGCCTAAACCGAACAAATCCCTGGGATAATGGTGACATATTGCTGGTACTTGGTTGAATCAGTAAGATCTGTCCTGGGAGTTGGTTGGGGTGGGTGGTGAGTGACATGGCCACATGTTTTTAAGGCTTGTGGCTTCCACTACTACTTCCTGTCCTGGCTTCAACATTACACATTCATCATACAACTCCCGCGCATCTATCACATCACCATGGCAACCATTATAAAGACATGGCAAAGCGGCATCTCCAGCAAGAAATCAGTCGTGGCAATCACCATTGATTTCTTAGATCAAAAGTCAAAAAGCATTCGCTCTGACATTTCAGTTACTGCTGTAAAACGTCAATCTTGCTGCAAATAACAAGACATGTGAAGACTTGCCATGTTAAGTTACTGTAGTCCATGTATGTATGACACCCACGCTGGGGATACTTGACGATTCTGAACATCTATCATGTTTGCCTTTGATTCCTAATACAGTTCAAGGACTGTGTTATTCATTGAGAAACTGATACCTTAAATGATTATCTGTCCTTCCAAATCAATAACTGTTTGAACAACCATTTCTACAACAGATCGAGGAATTTAATTCATCCGAAATGGGAACTGTCATTTTCAAAGTAATTGGTAGACAAACCAGAAAAGACTTCAATCTATCTGAAATACCATGTCATCAAATCTGTACTGAAGTACGCAAATTAATCATGTAATTACACTATCTGGTTATAAAATGTATAAAAAGTATTCATTGTATATGTTTGTAATCTATTTTATGAATTTTATTCATAACTTCATTCAATATTGTTTACATTCAAATTTCAAATTTGTATTGACCAAATTTAAATGGTTATCACCTGTTTGTTTACCTGAATTCACTGAAGGGATACAACGTAGTTTTTTTCTGCAGAAGACAAATGTAGGGATTTTGTTTGCGCTGGAGATGTGCTTCATTCCAATTTGCCTCATAGAAGTTTTTAATATAGAATTTACAATATCCAATATCCATCATTGACAAACTTGACAAACATTATTTGACAAACTTGAGTAGAATTTCTTACCTTGATATAGGATTGCTGCTAAAATCGAGTACTTGGAGATTTTTACAGAATTTGATGCTCTCCGGTATATCGAATATTTCTGAAAAGAAGAAGCAGAAGCATTAGAATCCAATAAGAATATACCATATGACAAATCTGTACCCATGGAGGGCACCTGCAAGGGACCTTCCTTTAAGTGTAACATCTTGATCAAAGTGAATTAGAGATGAAAACAATGCATGGCAATGGTTACATCAGTTTCAGCATGATAGTTATAATGAAAGCCGTTGGCCATGTTGGCAGGGAACACAGGTCTATCTTTTAAGTAAATTAGCCTCATCATTACTTTGGCTACATTTTCAGTACATTTTAGTCCTTGCATTAAGAAGCTTAGCTTTATAAATCTAAAGACATTTGGAAGAGTGGTTGAAGTTGCAGACTGAAATATTAAGCCCAAACTCACTTGCCTTGGGCAATCTGCACTGTGCTGATCAATCAGGCTCACATCAACCTAATCAAGTCTCCCACTTTCTGCTTCTCATTCACTTTCACAAATATGACATTCATAACATGTACATTTAGGAACTGTAAAATGTTTCACCTTCTTAACGAACCTATTTTGATATTTATGAAAAGAGGCACGTCCATTCACAATATTCTAAAGCTCTGGAATATGTCAAGTGTGCTGTAGCCTACAAATGAATAAGAAAGTGGCCCCATCTGATTCCCCTGTCAATTGTATATGTGTATCCTGCTATCTCTACTTCAGTACATACACTGAATTCATCATGCAAATATAGATTTATATTCGTAAGGGAACAGATTCCACTGCCAGAAAAGACAAATTGCAGCTGAACCAGCACTACCAGCAATCACTCGCAGCCCTACGTCCACCAACTGCTGCCCAGAAATCTAATAACCCTGGTCGACTTGACAGAATGGCTAAATAATCCACCGTAATTTCATTCCCATTAAATGGCATAAAGATATTGGAAGAGGGAAGTGGATTATGGTCAGATTGCGCCAGCAAGTGCCATGCTCTTGGTGCTCACGCATCACACACTTCATGACAAGACATCGCCTACCAAGGACAGATAAATACTACTGGTACAGTAGACAAGTTATCAACTATAAAGGTGGAAACTCTTCTATTTTACCAGTTTATGTCATTTGAAGTTTGAGCAAATGTGGTTGGCAGTTAATAAGCATTAGTATTGTAATATAAACTTCAAACAACTCTTGTTCCTGTCATTCAAGGATGCGTCGAACTTGAAACAGATTAACTTACGTGGGTTTCTAGAAGAAAACCCTCCTTTTGTCAGTAGTTCCATCATAGCAAATTCTGCCCAACAACTTTGTATGTCATGTTTGTTGTTTAATGTTGCACTCAGCAATATTCCAGCTATATGACAGCAGCCTGTTAATAATTGAGTAAACTGATTGTGTGTGCGTCTACTTACATGTGTCTGTGCACATACTAGTCCTGATAGATGTTAACTTACTGGCATTTGTCTAGGCAACCAAAGTATTTGTCAAGCAATGATCTTCATCCAAACTTTAAATTTGAATTCTATTACCTAACATGATATCACTGCAATACCTGACATTTATGCTGTTAGGTTAACAACATGACTCTGCTTGATAGGCTGCTAAAAATTCTTAAGGTGAAATATCGAACTTCATTTTATTTCACGATATCATTTACACTAATTCCTTATATGTACACAATATATGCAATCTTACTGATCCAACAGATAAATATTCCAAATGTAAAAGAAAATATATCATACATCCAGACTAGAAAAATAATTTGAGCTATCTTTAATTTAAACGTAAATAATCTTTTTTTTATCTCAAGAATACTCTAGATTGCCATCAGCAACTTTCAACTGAGCATAATCATAATGATAACGTCATCATTTCCAGAATCTACTTCATACAGCTCAAGTGGTATATGAAGAATGACACATTATATTTTCATACTTGAATTGACCATACAGAACTTTGACACCACTTTGATGAACAGATGACTTTCTAACAGAATCCTTGCAACATTTAAATTTCAATGCCAATGATCTTCTTCCAGGTATATAAGAATAATGGATAGATAAGGCGGACCATAATTTATGTGTAACAAATGTTATACTTGGGATAACACTTTCTTCATAAAGTACAGATTCTCTTACTCTTTGGGGTGCAGTCCCATCGGGGATTCGAACCCACACTGTCAGAGTGAGGCACCTAATGGCCAGCACACAAAGTCAGCGATTTAACCCACTCAGGAACTGAGGCTTCCACTAAAATGGATGTCAACTGTTAGTCTAGATCACGTACTTTGTGTACTCCTCTGACAAGGGTAAATAGGCATGGCTCCTGTGATCTACACTACCAGTTGTCAGACATCCATTTTAGTGAAAGCCTCGGTGGCTGAGTGGGTTGGATCGCTGACTTTGTGTGCTGGCCACGAGGTGCCTCACTTTGGCAGTGTGGGTTCAAATCCCGGAAGGGACTGAATCAAAAAAGCACGAGAATCTGTACTTTACTAACAAAAGTGTTATCCAAAATATAACATTTGTGTCATTTGACCGCTTTCTAAATGGCATTGTGTGTTCAAAATTTAATTTCTTCAAGTTTTCTTTGTCAGTAAAAGTCGCTGTTTGAGGCAAGATATATAGCATACGTGGCAAAATGGGGCGGGGCGGGGCTTTGAATCAAAGATCATAGGATCCTGGCATGACCAAGGGACATAACAATCAACATCACTTCCCAGTGTCTCAGACAACTGGGCAACCATACCCTTCCAGTGACAAGTGAAATGAAGAAGGCAACTTGTCCTCGCAGCTTGTTCAATCTTCCACAGACACCTTTACCAACTCAATCAGAAGACTAGGCTGATTTTCTTCATTTACAGCTTCAAAACTTCCTTGTTTAGTTATTCCGTTTCTACATCCAGTCCTTGCTACATCCAAAATAATAGCATGCACACAGCATCAACGGACTTAATATTCAAGTAATTTACATTACAGATACAACTGGCTCCATGTTTATCACTTTGAATCAATTGGAAATTGTAATGTAGTTTTGTTTCAGATTATTTTCTTGAAGGACTAAATTGACAGACAAGTTCCATGGTGAAAACAGAGAAATAGGTAAACACAGTAATCATGGTAATAGCAGCAACTCTTCATAGAAGACAGACTATTAACATGATTATTAACCTGTTGCTTCCAGTGGATATAAGAAAGTGAGTGAGTGAGTTGGGTTTAACGTCGCTTTTAACAGTATTATAGTTATATCACAGTGCGTCAGCTTACTGTGGGAGGAAAGCCCGAAGTGATGCAGGTCTCAGATGTTTACCACTTCGGTGAAACCCATGAGCACAGGTATGGTGCTGACAAACCTAGAAACATAATCGGGGCGAACCGGGATTCGAACCCACAATCATAGGTTTCTGGTGTGCCAAAGGGACGCAACTCTGTATAAGAAAGTGAGTGAGTTGGGTTTAACGCCGCTTTTAACAGTATTACAGTTATATCACGGCGTGTCAGCTTATGTGGGAGTAAAGCCTGGAGTGGTGCAGCTCAGACATTTACCACTTTGGTGAAGCCCACGAGCACAAGCATATGCACAAAGTTTCTGGCATGCCCAAGGGGATATCTAAATGAAGATAGGAACGGTTTACCAATCTGTGATATACATAAACACATACAGTTCTTCAGACTGCCATGGGCTCAGTTCATTGACCCTTGAAAAGTACAAAAAACAAATGGTCAATTTTCACTGCTGAGAAATATGGGTCCCATGCTCATATTCTTTATAAAACGTTGGTCCATGAGTGAGTGAGTGAGTGAGTGAGTGAGTGAGTGAGTGAGTGAGTGAGCGAGTGAGATATTTTAAACCGTATACAACCATGCTTAACTTGTCACCTTTAGAAGAAAAATGCATGCAAGAGGCTAAGATATTCTTGTCATGTCTGCCTTGAATGAACATTTTACAAGATTCCTGTCCTTCTACCAGTCAAACAGTCTGGTGTTTATCACTCAAGTGTTATCATAGTGCATAGCCTGCATAATTAACACAGCAATTAACTTCAGTTTCTTATAATGACACATACTGAGTTATGTTTAAGCTGTTGGTTTCATTACTAAAAAGATCCACTGGCATTCAAGCAATGTGAACTTTATGATGAGCTCAGGCTAGGTCAGCGTAGGGAGCAGCAATTTATCTACAGGTCAGCGACATCAGGGAGAACTCCTTTCACCAAATCATAATGATAGTGCTCGAAACTGATAAACAACTTATCAGTGTTTACTTCAACATGTTAAATGTGAGGTACTTTTTTAAGCACCAAGTTACTTACACTTTCATATCTCATCTCCCGGGGTAATATGTCTGGGAAAGATTTTAAAACATGATGCTCTCCACATCATCTGACCCGATTTGAAGGTCCCTTGCAATCCCAAGTTATTGTCACTCCTACATGATGAAGCAGGACGTTTCAAAACATTTGTAATATTGAACTGAATGATGTCTCCTCCATGTTTATCAATATTGATGGTGAAATAGGACAGGTTTAAGGGGAAGTGTACACGCAAAAATCACTTTCTTTCTTTTTCTAAACAAAACGCAATTTTAGAATTAGTTAGTATCTGTGTTTGAAAATATACACTCATTTTTTTCACAGTGAAAGTAGGAAGCTCACAATCGTGTGAAAATGATATGCCGTTATGAGGCCTTCGTTTTTTCGAGCTAAACAGGCCTGAGTTATCCCCCTTAGATTATGACGTAATTGGTGCCATTTCAACTGGGTCCCCGTCTATTCTCAACGCAAAAGATATCAAGTACCAGTTTGCGGTAAAACAACATGGCCTACGACACATTCCGGCGCAGTGGTGACTCAGCATAACACTATGCTGGCTGGCATCTGAGACGCAAGAATCACACACCTGTACCTACACCATGTGAAGCGGCTCTAACAAAGCATGATGACGTCATAATGTTTATCAATTGGCACCAATGACGTCATATTGCAAGGGGCATAAGCCATGGTGTTTTTGTTATGGAAATAGAACACTTGGTAAATGTGAAAAATATAAATAG